GTCACTACACAATCAGTTATTGCTGAGGCTAGTGTGAGTCTCTGGAGGCAAACTGCTCTGCACACACAGAAAAGGCCGCTGGGCACTCGGGGAAAGGCTGTTTGAGGAAGTCCCCTTCAGAGGAGGTAGGAGGGTGGCTAGCAGTGGAGGGGGAGGGGGAGCCACCAGGCAAAGGGAACAGGAATGCAGGTGATGAATTGAAGGAAGTGCTAGAGGCAAAGAACGAGAAGGGGTGGGAGCGAAAGGGCCGGTCAGGCGGGGCCTCGAGAGCCACGGCAGGTGTTGGTCTCCATCCCAAGAGCAGGGGGCCCCTAAGCAGGATGGGTGACTGTGTTTCTAGACTGTCTTGCATGGTTCTTTTTTGCACACTGCGGGCAGGGGTTGGGGGTGCAGCAGGAGGTCTTTGAGTTGAATGGAGCTCTTTCTCTGGAGCTGGGGACCCCCGATAGCCTTCCAGGGGCCTAGGACTTAAGAGTAGCACCTAGTGAGGAGTCCACGAACCTCAGCAGCAGGTCATTCATTACACACCCCCTGTGCTTCCCAAATGGGCATCATAGGCCACCTCCCACTTCCAGCCTCACCAGATTTGGTGCGCGTGTCCCACTGCCCACTCCGCAGCTCTGCGCCACCCAGCCTCAGGTGAACTCCCGATATGCCCCGGTCCACTGCCATTCTCTGACTCCCAACTCAGAAAAAAGCCATTTCCAGCTGTTCACCCAGCCTCCTGCGGTCTGTCCGTTTCCCATCCCTCCTGTAAACAGGTGCATGCGGAATGAACTCTAAACCACAGTGCTACCCGGACCGAGCATCCCCCCAGGAAAAGATACTGTACCCCAGTTTCTCCATGATTCCCAGCGAGGTTGCTGTTCCAATCAATGAAGTTGAGGGTCTGCCATGTCAGGAACAGGCCCCTCTCAGTCCTTCTCTAAGTCCCGGGCCACTCAGCGAGCGGGAGCTCTGGGTGCGACTGGGCATTCTATCTGAGGGGCTTTTACTCCAGTCACCGAAATGCTCTTTTTGATCAGACAAAAGGGATTACTTTCATCATCTTTAAACTCATCCCGCTGAACTCTAACTCCATGCTCTCCTGCGGGAGCTATTTGCTGTTATCAATGACAAATGATTTTGGTGGGATTTGGAAAACACACACGTAGGGAAAAGGGAGCCGTGGTGTCCAATGGGAATCCCATTCTGAGCAGTAGCCACATGGGAACAATTCCGCGTCCCAGGAAACCTTCCTCCCTCGGGAAGAGACACGGATAGTGCTGGGGGAAAGAAGACTCATTATGACAATCTGCCCCGACTTCCATTTTTTGTCCCCTGTAAGTAGAATGGATACGCCATTCATTCAACAAAAATTTGAGCACCTACTACGCGCCCGGTACCATCTAGACTCTGGGGACACTGCAGTGGGTACGGTCCCTGTTCTCCTGGAGGAGACGTGCTAAGGGATGGAAGAAGCAAATGGCCATGAGTAGCTCATGCTGGGAAAGACAGTAAGTAGCAAGCAGGGCAGGGGAGGGGAGTCATGGTGCCTGCTGTTTTAGGTGCAGAGTTCCGGGAAGGACTCCCTTAACGAGGTGACGTCCGAACAAAGACCTGAAGGAGACAAGAAAGCCACCCTCCATCTAGGAAAGAGTGTTTCCATAAGAGGAAAGAGGCAGGTGCTGAGTTCTGGAAGCAGCAGTGTGCTTGGTTAGCATCGCCAAGGAAGAGCCGAGCAGCAGTGTGGCTGGAGCGCAGAGAACAGGCAGAGGGGAGGTCAGGGGAAATGCAGGGGTGGGCCAGGCACACATGAGACCTTGGCTTTCACCCTGCGCCAGATGGGAAGCCCTGGAGAGTTTAGATGAGAGCAGGGGCTGGCCTCCCTTTTATTTTAACCGGCTCACTCTGAGGGTCAAGGGCAGAGGCAGGGAGACTCTGATGCAGCAAAGGAGTCAAGGGGGCCCCAAAGGAGCCCCTGGTTTCCTGGGAGTGGGGGGCAGAGCGGTTGAGGAGGAGGGGGACATGAGACTAAAAATAAAAAGGATGCAGATCTTTTGTAGGAAGGGTGTTCGGGGTGAATGACTGAGAGGAGGAGGCGCAATGCTTAGGAGACTGGGTTTGAGAATCGTTCAGGCAGGGATGATAGGTGGGGTTAAGTTTAGAGCAAAACAAAAAGGGGGAGGGAGTCAGAAATCTTGGATTGCCAGTCTGCACAGCTGCAGTCCCCAGAGGAAATGCCGTTCCTGACCTTGCTGTTCACCTGTCAGCTGCCAGCCCTGGCCTGAGGCTATGTGTTCCCACAGGTGCAGACGGTGCCAAGTGTGTGCCCTGATGGCCAGGTGTGTGCCCTGATGGCTGTGTGGTTCACCCCTGGGCTGCAGCACCCCACACGGGGATTGGGAAGGTGCGGGGGGAGGCGCGAGCGTGTTGGCGCAATAATGAAATGATGCTGTCGTCTCCACTCAGCCTGCTTGGAGTCTGATTCTGCCGCCCACGTCTCTGGGGGTGTGTTCATTTTGGCATCTGGTTTTGGTGCTATGGGGGAAAACACTCGGGTTGATTTTTTTTCTTCTAGGATGATGGTGAATAGCATTAAAGCCTGAAGCTCTTTTTTAAAAAATTCTCTTGCTCTGAGAGCTTTTTCCATACCTAAGAATGATGTGCTCTTTGCCACAAACAAGGACCCTGCCCCAGGCGGAGCCCTTGGTCCCCAGAACACACCCTTCAGGTTGCGCCCCTAACAGGGAACTTCAAGATTAAGATCCTCCTTCGTGAGTTACCTGCACAGGCCTGGAAGGCTTTCAGTGCATCTGTTGGATTGTTCAGTTAGGAAACTTCTCCTCTGACCCCTGACGGTAATCACCCACCCAGACCTCAGTACTGCTCTCTCCCGAGCTCTCTGGAACGCTCCTTCCTCCATGATCTCCCCGGTTCATGACTTCCGGGCCCAGGGACCCCGCTCCCCTCTGGACACCGAGAACCCCATGCTCTTCTCTCTGGCCGCGGCTTCTCCCACAGGGTCCTGACTCACACCATAACTTGGTGTCTTCACTTGACTTCTGCACCTGGGCATCTCAGACTCGACAATCCAAAACGGAAGTCCCTCCCACTCCAAGCTGGGTTCCTACCGGGCTTCTCCGGCCTCCCAGGTACTCAAGTTGGAAACCTAGGAAGCCACCTTGATTCTTCCCTTTCTCTCATCCCTCTCATCCAGTCCATCTGTACACCCTTGAACATCTACCGCTAGGCCGTCTCTAGAATCCACCTCCTCTCTACCTCCAGAGATGCCAACTGCTTCTGACCTGCAATAGCTCATCCTAGGTGGTCGTCCCAGGTGGTCGCCGTACTTCCACTTCCCCTCATCCCTACCGCTATGCATCCCAGTCCCTTCTCCACCCAGGAGCAGACGAGACCATTACATGTAATTGGGTCACATCTCTCCTGCTTAGAACTCTCCGATGACTTGCCGTTATTCTAAGATCAAATCCAAGCTCTCGACCGTGGCCAGCTAGGCCCTTCGCAACCGGTCCATCTCTGGAGATATTCTCCCCTGAGCTCACCTCGAACAAACTGTATTAATGTCCTATCGCTGCTGTAACAAATTGCCATATACTTGGTGGCTTAAAAAGACGGATTTATTCTCTTACAGTCCCAGAGGCGAGAAGTCCCAAATGGGCTGGAACCAAAATGACGGGTAGGGCAAGACCCACCCTGGGGACAAATGTGTCCTGGCCTTTTCCAGCTACTAAAGCTGCATTTCTGGTTCCACGGGTCCCTTCCTCCACCGCCCAAGCCAGCAGGGCAGCTTCTTACATCAGCAGCCACACTGCCTTCTGGGTCAGGTCTTCTTTGCCTCTCTCTTCTAAGGGCGCCCGCGGCTGCATTTGGGGGTCTTCTCCTCATCACAAGATCCCTAACTTAATCACATTTTAAAGTCCTTTTTGCCATATAAGCAACATTCACAGGTCCCAGGGATTAGAATCTTTTGGGGGCCATTATTCAGCCTACCACACATACCAGGCTCTTTCCCACGACAGGGTCTTTGTGCAGCTTGTTGCCTGTTTACCTGGTTCCCTCCCCCCTTCCTCCCCCTTTCCCTCTCTCCTCACCATAACTGCCTTGAAGACGGGAATCAGGTCTGTTTTGTTCACCCACCGATTGTATCTAACACATCTGGCTGACGTCACTGCAGTCTGAAATTCAGGAAGATGCATCCACCATGCAAGATGCGCCCGGAGGCTGCTGCGCTCAGTCATCCAGACAAAGCAGGCCTGCCTCTATCCTCCTCCCGGCCTCCTCTGTCAGAAACAGTGATCTGGCCAGAACCTAACACCGCCAACAGGCCAGACCCACAGACACACTCCCACGCAGGAGCCCCGGGAGATGCTGGAACATTTAATGAGCTAGGAAGGCACGGCATCTTTCAAAGAAGTGGATTGCACTTGGGTCAGCGGCCACCTGAGCCCATGCTCATTAAACGCAGCTAAGAAACGTTTCCATGAGGCCCAGCCAGGAAGCTGCTGGCTGAGGAGAGCGGTTCCCAATGTTCTCCATCCGTCTCCTGTTAAAATAATACCCCTGGGGCCACTTGGGGGAGGTGTGTGTGCGGGGCTGGGGGGGGGGGGGGGGCAGAGGCCTTTCAGCAGGGGCAGCCCGCACAACGCAGTGCAGTACTTCAGACTGAGCTAGATCGCCCAGCCCGCAGCAAAATCTGTTTTGATGGCAAGGCTATTTCTAATCACGAAGCAAAATCTGTTTTGATGGCAAGGCTATTTCTAATCACTGTTTTGCCTTAAGCAAAGCATTCTCTGGTCGAAAACATCATTTTTCCACCCTTCAAGTAGAAAAGTGCGCTTTAACATTTGACAAGTTGCAGGAACATTGCGAGATGTTCCGTCACCATGAAGACGGCTTGGGGGACTCCATGGTTTTCTTCTCTGTGACGAGTCACAGCAAAGAATTCCTGGTTATTTTTTAAATAAAAACATAAACTTGGAAGAAGAAAGCAGCATGGCTGATAAATATAAACCAGTTTTCACAGATAGCAATGTCTACAATAATAACACGTGTGTAGCATTTTACCAAGGCTACACAGGCATCCCTCTGAAAAATCCAGAAAACATCTGCTTGCTAAGGAAGGGCCTTTGAGTTTTGCCCTGTAACCTTTGGATCCACAACTTTATATCCTAAAGCATTCTGGCACAAACAAACCGGAACTGCCTCTTGGGGATATATTTTGGAAGTCTGCTCTCAGAGTTCAGTTCATGGCATCTGCCGGAGAGCTCATGGGGCCGTGCAAACGCCTGGCGCAGACCCTGTTTTCAAAGCTGCGTTTGCGTGGAGAGTTGATTCCGAAGGCTTGACTGAAGCGTAATTGACTTAACTGGAAATAAGAGTCCACCTGGGTGACCAGCTGTCACGTGGTCATCTTCTTCTTGCCAATCTAGACCACCTCAAGGACTCAATGGCTGCCATGTGTCACCTCCCAATAATGCCCTAAGGACCAGAGAGGAAAGCAGGGTACATGGTAGCCTCTCCCATGGTGGGGTGGGAGGGGGAAGTGTATCAAAGCGGAGAACACTGACACTCATTCGCAACCCGCAGGCACAGAGGAAATGCTGTTTGCCACCGGGTCTGGGAGGAGCGCTGGAACCAGATGCGGGCAGCAGCGGGGTGGCTGGCGCATGAGCAAAACGCAGCAGGAAGTTTCTTCCTGGACACCCACCCACCCTCACTGCGAGAGGCACGGAACGGGGCCTGTCACATGGATCCAGGTCCCCACGCCGGCTGACAGGCACTCAGTAACCTTCAAGGGCTCAGTGACAGGTCCCATCAGCAGGGGGCTGGCCCTGTGACATGGGGCAGCTGCTCCTCTTCTACGGCCCGTGGGCTGCATTGTGGGGACAGCTTGATGGCCAGAGTAGGCTTTGGAAACGTCCATGCTGAAGGACACTGCTGGTCCTTCTCTGCCAGGACAAAGGTGACCTCCCAAGTGGACCCCACACAGGACAAGGCTCCGTCTGAACGAGCTGCTGCCAAACGTAATCAGCTTCTGGGATGCAAACCCAGGGCTCACACGCAACCTGAGACGCAGGTCGGCCGGAGACCTCACAGCAGGAGTCTGGTGTCCCTCTGGCTGAGCTGCTCGATTTCCTCCGGGGAGAAAGTGTTTCCTCGGAGCCTGAAGGGGACAAGCGAAGAGTGGGTGGAGTGAAGACAGAACCACAGCACTGCTTTCCAACGGAGGCTGCGCTTTCTAAAGCCAGGCGGGGATGGCCTGCCGCTCCGGCCCAGCGGCAGCTGCCCTGGGAGGGAAGCCCACTGGTTTTGCCCGTGTCCACAGTGCAGCTCATGAATCACTGCGCACAATGACACAGGCCCCGTGCCTGTGCTCAGCGTCCACACTGGACCCAGCCAGCTGGCCATTCTTTTTATGGCACCAGCAGAATCGGCCCAGAATGGGATGAGCAGGACCAGGTGCCCCCTGCCCCCAGCGCCACCCACAGGAAGCAAACATCAAGCCCTTAAAATACCCACCTGGTGCCGGCCTGCTCCCCACAGGCACAGACTGTGACATTCCTTAGGGGTGCGCAATGATTTTTAACAAATAGCCCACAGTGTGCCCAGGACCGAGGACGGCCAAGGCTCTGGGATTGCACAACCAACCACACATGAGGTGCTCTCTCCAGCAGGGCGCAGATTGTAGAAATCTTTATTTTTAACTTCTTCATCTGAGAGCTGCACTTGCTGCTGCCTAGAAGTGCGTTTCCAGGGAGGGGTGAGTCCGCCTATTGAAAGCGGGCTCACAAGCTCCCCCGGATGAGGCCGTGCTGTGCAGCAGCCCCCGGGGGCCTGGTCTGGGCCAGCAGGCTTCCTGGGTGTGCAGTCCACCCCGGGCCATTTTGTCCGGCAGAGCGGGGTCGGTCCCTCCTCTGCTCTGCTTCAGTACCGGCAGTTGCAATGGGGGTCCAGAGTGCCAGCTTTTTTTTTTTTTTTAAGAAAACTCTGAAGTATAGATTTTTAAATGGGGAACCTCCTAGGTTTAAAATACAGATGGGCTCCCACTTACGATGGTTCAGCATAACTTTTTGATTTCACAACAGTGCGAAAGCGAAATGCATTCACATTTTGAATTCGTATCTTTTTCCTGGGCCAGGGATGGCATTATGATGCTCTCTCACGATGCAGGGCAGTGGGAAGATTTGGCCCAACTCGAGTCTAACGTACGTTTCCTGAGCACGTTGAAGGTGGGCCGGGCTGATCTGCAATGTCTGGTGGGTTAGGTGTGTTCAACGCATTTTTGACAGAATGATACTTTCAACTTAGGAGGGGTTTATCCTAAATCAAGGAGCATCTGTTTGGGCTTCTAGCTCAGGGTCTGAAACGTGTGTAGTGAGTGTCATTCATGTGTACTGTGTTAACCAGGGGGAACCTCTCTGCTTACTCTGTGAGCGACAGTTACCTCCATGGAAAGGAAGACAAATCCTTGACGTTGTGACCCACTAGTTTTTTCGAATACATACAACTTTTAAGTATAAAGACTTGGATACGCTGTACAGCGGTGCCCACCCTGGGTAACGTCCACCCACAGCCGCACATGGTCTGACGCAGTGGCCTTGGCGTGCGATGGCAGATGCAATACCCAGGAGGGCAGGAGCTTCTGTTCTTTCCTCTGTTACTCTTCCACCACACAACTGGCTAGAACAGTGCCGTTTCGAATAAATACTCGTGACTTAAAAATAAAAGGACTGGTCCCCGATCAGAGACTCGAAGACATCTTTCCCAGCACAGAGCTATGCCCATCATGTGCAGAATGTCACTGATCATCGGAGCCAAAAGGGACCTTAGAAATTCTCAAGCGCCTCTCCCCACTTGCCCCATTTCACAGATTGGAAAACCGAGGCTCAGAGAGGTGGAGAGGTCTTGCCAGGGCCTTACCAGACTTCCAGGATCGTGTTGTTCCTTTCAAGGGCCTGCAGGAGGGCTTGTGCCCCAAGGTGGGTGATGCAGTTGTTGGACAGCCTGGAGAGGACGACGCAATGGTGAGCTTCAGGGGTGCTCGGGTGCCCTCTTGGGCCTGTCCGATTAAAGGAGGCTTTGGGAGTTGGCCGGCCTGCTGGAGCCCAGCGGCCCCCTTGACCTGCCCCTCTCCGGCCAAGATTCCTCACGAGCTCATCGACCAAGGCTCAAGGCCTCAAGTGAGACGTACTTTTCTCTCTTCCATCCAGTAGAGTCATTCATCTAAATACGTGGCTACTCCCCTCGGAAGGTGCTATATGCCTTTTAGTGCCAGACTTCCTGGGTTCAAATCCAGCTTACACCGCTTCCTCTCTGACCTCAAGCAAATTAGTCCCAATTTCCTCATCTCTACAAGGGACCTAAAAGAGCACCCATTTCAGCGGGTATAAGAATCGAACAAAGAATGGTGTCATCTAAACCACGTGCCCCAGAATACAGCAACCGTGCCTGCCTGCACAGCACAAGAGCAACCACCGGAGGCGCCCATCCGAAAGCTCCTCTCACCCGAGCCAGGGAAGGGCCCACGGCCCACACATTCCCTCGGCTGTCCCCTCTGGCTCTGAGGGCTGCTGCCTGGGAAGACCACCCTCTCCCCTGGACCTGAGGCTTTGCTCCTGACCCCGGAGGCGTGCTCAGCCATGTTCAGGGCAAGCACTGGAAGTGCTGGACAGTTAATGTCCCCACAAGCACACTCCAGCCTCAGAACGACAGGCAGCTGGTGGGTAAATATCCACGTGGCCCAGCACCAGTGGGACTGAGCCCCAGTAGCCTCAGCAATAACAGGCTTGGTGACACACGGTTATCTTTCACCTTCCCTTCCCTACCCCACCCCATGACTCCTCACCATGGGGTTTGCTGGGGCCACCTTGCCTTGGAGTCCCTGCCTGCGTTTTGGGGACCCCTCAACAATACCTGCAATGGTTCCACCAGGCTACCTCATGCTGCCTCATAGAAGTTAACCAGGATGGGCACCTGCCCAGGTCTCCAATTTAGAACCACCCCACCCCCATGCTGGTCACTGCTGTCCCGGCTCCTTACTTGAGGACTTTCAAACTTGAATTTCTCACAAGTCCTTCAGCGAGAGAGCACACACCTTCATCTTGGAGATGGTTCTCCTCCAGGCTGGGAAGAAGAAGGGGAGACTCTGTCAGTACAGCAACATTTATTGTGGAAGATCAGGTGCCTGAAGGTGAGTGTTGGGAACCGCCCTGCCTGGTTTCAGAAGCTGTAATCCCCTCATAGCTAAGGCTGAGTAAAAAGACCTTGGGACCATAAGCCACTAAGGAGACAAAGGTTATCTCCCTGGCAGGGGCACCGCCTCTGCCCCCTTTCTCTTCACCCTGCTTGGCCCTGGGCAGATAACTGGTTAGCCAATGATGGGTAAGATTCCTCAAGGGAGGGACAACCTAAGACAGGCACAGTCACAAAGAGGCCCTCGGGTAAGGACTTGGAGGGCTGTAGAAAAAGAGGGTGATGGGCCCTCACCCCTCAGCTTTGACACAGCCTAAGTCCTCATTGTGTCTGCAAGAAGTCTCCTAATCTCTTGACTGTCTTACTTCCCTGCCTGATTTAAGCCTGAAACAATGACAGAGTGTGGTGCAGCCCTGTGTGGAAAGGGTGGGTTCCCTGGGCGATCAGGCCTAAGAAAGAATATGTAAAATCCTGTGAAACCTGCTTTGCTAAGAATGTCATCAATTTTCTGATAAGGGTCCAAGCAGGAAATGAGTTTGTTTCCCAAAGTTTTGTAGCCCTTTAGCTAACTGACCCTGACTCAGAATAAGCCCTCATAGTTCTTTATATGTTCTCTGTTGTTTGATCCTTACTGCCTGAGCATAATGAATGAGGACCTTCCTTGATGTAATGCTCCCAGAAATCGATAAAAGCCTGTCCAAGCAAGGGTCGGGGCCCTCTCTCTCTCAGAGAGTGGCCGTGCAGTCCCTTTTCTCCACAGGACTCTGCAGTCCGTGTAAATTTGTTCATCGCAGCCACAACACTGCAGGCACTGCCAGCCGGAGTCCACATCGGGTGAGCCATGACCCCCCATTTAGAAAGTCCAACATCCGAGAGTCAACACTTACAAATAAAGGGGGGCAGATCAGACACACCCCACAGGGTGTGACAGTCTCCATTCCAGGGCCACCTCAGGGAGCAAACTCACCCCAAGTTCCCTCATGGCCCAGGGACTCTATCCCCTTCCCCTTTCTCTCTTATCAACGGAAGCCTAGTTTTGTCTGGGGCAGCCATGGGCTTGGTAAAGACACAAGCGAATGACAACAACAAAAACATTGTTTTCCCCCTCTCCACTGCAGCCAGGGTTAGCCGACAGACATGCCCATGGCCACGCAGGAACATGTAAGGGGACGTTGACAGATGGGGCCCCTGGGGACACTCTTCAGAGGGAAGCAGCCTGGCCGGCCTGTGCCTCTGCCCTCCTGGGCTATACAGGCGGAATCCTGGGACACACAAGGAGTGCTGGAGACGCTGCAGCCTTCTTGTGATCATGAGACCACCAATCATGAGGACGCAGCCACAGACTGAGGATGTGATGGATCACAGAGAGTCCCGACCCCTGCTGGTCTCGTGGGGATGCCCTCCCAGCCCTCAGCAGTCTGCACCTGCCCGTGGAAAGCCACGCCCTGTTCTGCAGGTGGAGGTCTTCCCTCCCTCGCAGCCCACGGCAGTCCTGGTAGAGGCTCTCACAGCGAGGTGCTCCTCCCACAAGAAATTCCTAGTGCTCGGACCCAATCAGGGCATAGTCAGCAGAAAATGGGTGGAGCCAGTGAGCCCCGCCCACCACCACAGTGACAGTGCTCAGAGGTTTATCTGGTGCCCTTCTGCTTCCTGAATAAGTCAGCCTTTTATCGCGCTGCTACAGTGTGAAACTGCCCAAGACAGATCATAAGAAGACTAGACAGGTGGCATCTGATGGGTGGAAAACCTGGAATCAGTTTCAGGTCAGTGGTGGAGGTATGGCTCTCAGTTCACCCCTGAACGTCCCCCCAAACTCCACTGCACCTTCCACCACGCCCCTGACTCTGACGCCCAGGGTCCTCAGGCACACCTGGGTCCACACTCGCTCTGAAAGGATCAAACTCTGTTTGTAGTGACAGTCACAGTGACAGTGACCTGCAGCAGCAGCAGGGAGCCACTGCCACAGGGGTAATGCCATCCCTGTCACCGCGGAACATGTCGAAAAATGTCAGGCACTAGGGTCCTCGCAGGCATTACCGCATTTCGTTCTTACACCAGCGTCTTCTAGTTGGGGGAAACCTGAGATTCAGACGTTGTTACTGAACGTGGCCTAGAAGCTCAGCCCACCTGACTCCGGAACCTGTGCGCTCCACCATGAGGCCACAGGGAGGCAGAGCCCAAACCTGCAAACCCTTAAATACAACCAAATAGAAAGAGGGAGCACCTCTATGCCAGGCTTGCTAAGCTTCACCCACGCAGGACTCTGGAAGACAAGCACATTCACCCAATCACTCAGTCATGCACCTCATCCCATCCACACAGCTGTTTCCCTGGATGAGGCCGGGGAAGAAAGGAAGACAACTATCACCCCCTGTCTCCCAAGCAAGGACGCCCCCAAACTCACCAGAGTTCTTCCAGTGCCACGTTCTTCTCCAACATCAGCGCTAAGGCCTTTGCACCCTCACTGCCAATGTCGTTCCCCACCAAGCTGGGTGTGACCAAGGGACAAACAGGTGTCAGAGCCGGGAGGGACCTCAGAGATAAGCTAAGCCTTGAAGGGCGGAATGCGAAGCCCCACACACTTCCCCTTCCTCTTCTGCTCCCTCTCAGACACCAACCATTGGTCACCGTGCCCTTGTCCATCAAGCCCAGAAGCAGCCTGAGACCCCTTCCCTACCCAGAGTGCTGGGCGGCACTGCAGATGCGTTCGGTCCTAGAGATACAACGTACTCGATCCAGCCCAAGACCCTCCACTAACACAGGGAATTGAGACCCATGAGAGGGGAAGGGGCATCTCCAAAGTGGCGGGGCTCCAAACCCAATGGTGCTTCTTTCTCATCCCCTTGCCTAACATAGGGGGTGAACATGAGGTTCAAAGACCTTCCAAACAGGCCCAGGCTCCCCGCTCCTCAGGCTGGCTCCCCTGTGACAAGGACAGGACAGACACTGAAGCTTACCTGAGCCACCTCAAGCTCTGGTGGTCGCCCAAGGCTTCCGCCAAGGCCTGCGCCCCTGTGTCACCCACCTTGTTGCCCCAGAACCTGAAAAGGCCAACAGTCAACAGCAGTGTCAGTGAGAACATGCTATGTGTTCTGGGCCTCCTCCCAAGGCACATTCCTCTCCATGGCCCCAGCCAGAGGGGCAGCCCCCCACTACCAAGCCCAGAAAGGTCCCACTGGGGTTCTGAGGCCCCAACCCAGTGGGCCCACCTTCACTCAGATTGCTCAGCAGCTTGAAATCAGACTTACAGAACACTCCGAACACCCAGCGCATACCCCCAGGGACAGGGAGCTCCTTCCCAAAGGCAATTCACACGGCCTTGACACTTTTCTTGACATTTAGGTCCAATCTGCTTCCTGGTAGCTGTCCCCACAAGTCCATCACTAGCCCCCGAGACTACCCAGAACCAGTCTATCTCGTTATCTCCTGCTCCCGAACATCCCTGGTTTCCGCATGGTGTCCAACCCCTTCTGGGCCATCAGAACAACTGTGGTTCGGAAACACTCCTTTTCACAGGGGCAGGCCAATGCACCCCTTGTGACTCAGCTCTTTGACACCCAGAGGCGCCTGGCCGCCTGCGTGCACTCGTGAGCAAAGATCGCCGAGCTGAGATGTTCGCCACACTTTCGCTCACTAGGTAAATATTTATTGAGCCCTGCCTCCGTGTTGACCCCGCCCTGTGTCCCGTCCCAGGGGATGGGACGCTGAAATAGCAAAAATCCGGGGCACAACCTGAGCATGCCCCAGCTTGCGACCGGTGAAACAGATTGCGACATCCAGCCAGTGGAGCACTAAGCAGCTGCTCTTGAAACAGTGAGGCCAAAGGAGATGAAAAGACGCCTATACTCTATTGTTGAGAAAAAATGCAACTTGCAGAACCGCTTGTACCACGGGACGGTGTTGGGGGTGAATTTAGCTCAGTGCCCGGCCCACACAGGGGCCTTCATAAATACGTGTTGAATGATAAACACCAGGCCAGATGTGGCCTCAAAAAGGAAAGAGCTCAGTGGGGCTATGGTCGCCCCTTGTTCTAGACTCTGAGTTACTAGAGCAGCTTGGAAGAGGTGCTGGTGTCCCCAGCCACAGTCACTCTCCTGGGTCCAGCTGCACCCAGTGCGGGGGGGGGGGGGGTGAGGCGCATGGCAGGTCACTTCCGATCCATGTGGAATGGATCGGAGCACGTGGGCCCTAAGGTTATTCTGTCCTCCTACAGTCTGGGGTCCTAAAACCCCCAGTTCTTGTCAAATGGACCCACCAAGGGCAAGACAGGACAGGAGAGGGGCTGCAGGGGATGGCACAGAGCGATGTTGGGGGCTGTTGCTCTGCCCAGCAAACAGGAGGCTGTGCTCTGGGGCCCCGGGGACCAAGAACTGCCCTCCCAGCCTATGTCTGACTGCCCCGCAGCACTCCCCTATACAACCTCCTCCCCGCTAATCTGGGCTCCAGCCTCTCTTCCCCCCGGCCTTCTCTGTGCTCGGTCCTCACTGGGCTGCACCTCCTCTGGGACCCCTGGGCGGTACCCCCAGACCATTCACATATCAGTCTGGGGTGGGGCCCAGGTGATGGCGAGCTGCAGAAGCCCCTCAGTGGTCCCAGGGCACAGACGGAGGTGAGAAGCGCAGCCCCAGCACCCATGACGACCCGAGGGCTTCCTGCCACCTGTGGGTGCTGCCTGCCCCCAGCACTGACATCCCGAACTTCCTGTTTCTCCCATGGAAAGCAACCACCACGCAGCCAAGGGCCGCTTACCGTCTCCCTGCCTCACCCTCCCCACAGGGGCCTTCTGGCTCAAGAGTGTCACCTGCCCCAAAACCCTCCACGCCGCCTGGGCCCCGGAACCCAACCTACCCGAGAAACTGCAGGGAGGTGTTGGCCCTGAGCCCTCGGGCCAGCACCTGGGCTCCCGCGGAGGTGATGTGGTTGTTCCCCAGCCTGGAAGGGAAGACAGAGGAGGCTGAGAGCAAGTGGGTCATGCGGGCAGAAGGCCCGGGTCTGCGGGGGAAAGTGTGGCCTGGACAGAGAAAGCTGGGGAAACCGCTGTGGGGGCCGGGTGCAGACGCAGGAGCCAGTCGGTGCTCGGGGAGCTTGTGCAGCAGCTCCCGACACTTTGTTTTCCACCAGCTCAGGGAAAGCAGGGCAAAGCAGGGTGACAGGTACGGCAGGAGCCACAGGAGGCAGAGGTCCTGGAAGGTGCTTTCTCGGGGGAGCCAGGGTGACTCACTGTCACACCTTTGCTTCCTGTCTCAGCACCTGGCAGCCTTCCCCGCCGCACCTGCTGCAGGTGGCATCTACCTGTTCCTGGCAGGCCCAGGACTGGGAGCAAGAAGGGGGCCCTGCCGAGCCTTCTGCAGGGATTGGTGGAACAGGTTTCACCCAAATCCGACACTTTGAGGAAGCCCAGAACTCTCACCCACAAACCCAGGCTTCCTGGAACAATAGCGCACTTTGGTTTTCTCAGAGAACTCTCACACGAAGCCACTCCGACTCACAAGAACCCTACAGGGCAGGGATTATTGTCCCCTCCGAGAAAGCGGTGGCCTCTCAGGTTGTATGACTGAAGGCCCCACCCCATGCTGAAAAATCCAGCATCCGCACTGCACCAAGGCCTGCGTCCCACACCTACTGCGGGCCAGTGACTGGGAGACGGGGGGCCCCTGCCACCTGGAGCACCCAGAGCACCCCAAGCTGCCTTCCACGCCGCTCTCTGGGAACTGCCCTGAAGTCCAGGACACGTCCTCCCCTCCCCCTCTCTCCCTCTTCCCCTCTCCCCCCAGCAGACCCGCCCTGCAGCCTCCCCAGCTCCCATCCCCATTTCCCCTCCAGGCAGTTTCCCGGTGGCACACCTCATCCCTCCCTGGAAGAGTGGACTGACTGGGCATGCTGAGAACTTACGTGGCTCCCCACGGCCTTCCACGCACCATGTAAGGCACTTATTACACGTGTACATGGATATTAACTCACTATGGACGCAGCTCACCACAGCAGCCTGGGAGGTCACTGTCACTGCTCTCTCCATTTTACAGAAGGATAAACAGAAGCACGCGGTGGGCTGACCCAAGGCCGCACAGCCAATGAGGATCCAAATCACAGGCGTCCCGGGTTCAAACCTCAGCCAGCCTGGCTGCACAGCCCCGGGCTCTGAACAGCGATGCCCTACTCACCACAGGCCCAGGCCTCTACCTCTGAGTGTGGCCACCTGCGGCTGGGCCAGCACAGGCCTGGCCACAGCCACTCTCCCGTGTGTGAATTAGGAGGGGGCGTTGGCAGCGGAAGAGAATCCTTTGTACACAAGGGCCGCCCTGGCACTGGCCTCAGTGGCCCCGCCTGAGACCAAGCTACATAGTCAACGAGTTCAAAGACGGCAGCTCACGTCCCCAAACCCAGCCCGGCCGGTAGAAAGAACTAATGGAAGAAGGTCTTCACTTTGTCTTCGTTCACTCTGTCAGGCCAGGAGGTCAGAATCGCCCAGAGAGAGGGAGAAGCCAGGCTGAGCCAGGCACCAATCAGGTAGGAGGGAGCCCAGTGGAGGCCAGAGGAGGGGCGGGGGGCAGCTGACATGCACATTTCCCAGGCTGGGTGCAAACCCTGCACCCCACTAAGCACCCAAAAGGACCTTCCAAGATTTTTTTTTTGTCACAACTGGCAGCCACACCTGTGGCAGCAAGTGATTGCAGCACCCACCCCTATGCCATCCTGGTATTCAGCCAGGAAATCAGGCCCCCAGTATGGGCGAGCCAGGGCCGAGCCCAGACCATCCGGATGGAGCAGTGGCAGGGACAGACGGCGTCCGGGAACAGGGAAGCCGAGGCTCACCTCAACGCCAAGAAGTTCTGCCGGCACTCGAGGAGCCTGGCCAGGGACTGGGTGCAGCCGTCGGTCAGCTTGTTGTTGAATAAACTGGAAAGAGTTGAGAGAGAGACTTGGAGACAGGCACAAGGGACAGCACGCGCCCAAACCCAGGGCAGCCTGTTCCCACGGGACAAGAGTCTCCCTGCACCTGCCGCCACGCACACACCTGCCCAGCCCATCACAGTTCACGGAGGTTCCCAGGGAACAAGGCTGGGGACCTGGGGACCTGGAGACCCGGGGCCCAACGTCCCGGCCCAGACGGACTTACGCTAACTTCTGCAGCGCCTCACAGTGAAGAGCATGTTCGACGAGCTTGCAAAAGCCTCGGTCTGAGATATTATTATCTCGCAGGCTAAAACACACCAGATAGATAAACCTGAAAACAGAGCTCATGACAGGAGGAAAAAAAAATGACCGAAACCTCCAAAGAGACTTTCACTCGTCCCCCAAGTGCTGGCATCTGTGCTCCCAGGGAACGCGGGGACTCCCCCATCCCTGGCCAGGGTGCTGATGTCGTGCATGATGCGGGGGGCAGCTCAGGAGATGGGGACCCGGAGCCCCTGCTCAAAGAACACCAGACTCCTTGGGACGTCACAGGCCTAACCTGAGGGGCCCTTTCCAGCTCTGTGGGAGGGAAGTGGCCATCAGCACGGCCTCCCAGAAGGTTCCGTCCAAGGTGGGAAGGAGCTGTGACATGGCCAAGGAGCAGAGGAACTAGACAGACTTCCTACCCCAGGATCAGGTGGCTGAGCGAGCAGAGGGTAGACCAGTTGGACGAGAGGGGCCAAGACTTGGGAAAACCGGCAGGAAGGCTGTGGTCAGTGAGGTTCTGCTATCCAGCCCTTCACCCCCCTTGACATCACTCCTGCTGGTCAGACCCCGCCTGGCAGCCCCCAGACATGCCTCTTGGGTCAGAGTTTCCAAAGCTCACCTGATCACAACATCCAAAAGCACCCCTAAAATACAGGCTTCCACCCTGGTGCCTGGAGCTGGCCATGCAACATGTACAGGCCAGGACACAGGACGCCATGTATTGTAACCCCTATGGGTGGGGTTCTCCATCATCAGGCAAACTTGGGAGGTCCTGCCCAACAGGGTCACAGCTCAGGCTCTGGAACCCTTGGTGGGGGTTCTGATCCTGAGCAGCCCCTCACCAGCTGTTTGCTGAAAGCAAGCCCTGGTTCAGATTTAAAGAGACAGTGCACATAAAGCCCTGGCGACACCTGGCCCACGGTAAAAGCTGCTGGAATCAGGATCGCTGCACGTATGGAACATGGGGCACACCGGTGCCACCTGAAGCACTTCCTAAGAGTAACGGCACTTAATCCTTGCAAGCCCATGACATAGGTAGAGAGAAGGACACGGAGACACAGACAAGCGAAGCGACTTTACCAGGCCGCACAGCACCCAAAGGGTTTGGAGGAGGCTGTCTGGCCCCCGAGCCCACCCTTCACCGGGACCTTATTTGGCCTCTCTCTCTGAGGCTTAAGAGCACCGACAGTCTCACTACAGACTCGTTGGTAGGTCATGACATCGACCCTGAAGGTCATGAGCAGGGATGTTTAAGTGGGAAAAAGAACAGGACAGAAGGACAGCAGACTGAGTCCAAGGTAATGAAAGAAAGTCATTCTGAGAAGTTTTTGTTTCACCTCTTTTGCAGTGTGGGCCCCAGTCAAAAACTTTGAAAGCCGCCACCCCAGAGTCTAAAGAAACCGATATAGGGCACTTTATGTTCAGGTTTCCCAGAGGCGGAGGGTTTCGGTTGGCATGGAGACACTACATGTGGGAAAGAGGCCGTGGCACTGTGGGAGAGAGGAGGGGGACTCTCTCTCTCTCTCTCTCACACACACACACACACACACACACACACACACACACACACACACACAGGAAATGCTCACATAGCAACCTTGTGGTGGTTCCCTTCCCCCAGAGTGTCGGCAATTTCAGTACTTGGTCAAAGATGGTCATTCACTAATAGAACACCAAGCTGGTTCCCACCGACCAGCGGCATTCATGGGGTGGCCTCTGGACCACTTGTATCAGCATCTCTAGGCATGTTTGTTTCAAATCTAGATTTCTGGGCCCCCACCCCAGACCTGGGTGACGGGAAGCCCTGGGGACAGGCCCCAATACTGGAAGCATTGCCACGGGCCCCTCTGCCCTGAGCACCTGAGCCACAAGGACTAGGACCAGACCAACCTCAGCTCCTGGGGAACTAGAGACAGGCACCAGCCCCCCCGACCCCGGCCCTTGGCCCTTCTGAGCTCAGGGACGGGGGAGGGGAGGCAGGAGCTGGACCACATGGGCTTTCCTCACCAAAGAGAAGGGGTCCAATCATTTCAGGGAGGGCTCTGTGAGGGCCACGCAGGCCCGTGGGTCCTGACCTCTCGGGGCCCAAGGACCCCCTTGAGAACCATGGGTCTGTAATCCAGAAACACGCATGGGCATATTTCTAGCAGGTAGCGGCTCCCACACACTGGCCTGGAAATCCTGAGTGAAAAGTCCCTCCCCAGGAAGTCGGAGGGCTGCACTGGCCACTGCTCTGTCCCCAGACGGATCCTGCCCCGCTTCTCGGCACAGCTCTGGGGCCCAGGGGCGGGGCTGATTCTGGGGATGCTACCCGTGGGTTCCCACTCTGGCTCCTGGTGGGGTTAAGGCAGGGGTGGGGAGTGAGTCCCGGGCGCACTCCCCAGGTCCCACCCCTCCAGGATGCTGCCCCGCAGCGGCTGTCAGCAAGCCCTCTCCCTACCTTCCTCCCAGGTAACAACCCGCCCCCTCTGCCCCTCGGGCCTGGGGAGTATCCCAGGGCCCGGTTCTTCCTAACACCCACCCAGGCCTTTGAAAACACTCCCTTTGTCAAACTCTCCTTGAGTCACCGAATGTAAATGTGTCATCTGATACATTCATACGTATCCTGTATCTTCGTTATATGTAATATACGTATTAACTGTACCAATATACGTTGTATTATGAGATCTCATTTATACACTCAGGGCCACGGTCCGCATGAAAGGGGTAAAGGTCACCGCTCAGTTTCCAGTGGCTCTCTCTGTGTTTGCTCCAGGAGGAACGGAGTCTGGCTGCTTTGGCTTGGAGAAGGTACGCCAGCCACCTTCATAGGCTCCCCGAGACGTTTGTCCCTTGCATAGTGTCAAATGCCTGGGAGGCTGTGAGTTGATTTTAACTCTAAGTCACAGCTTCTGCTTTCTCAGAGGTTATAAATAGGGGTTAGAACATCCCCTTTTGAGGCTGAAAGGGAAGTTGGGGAGCCGGGTGCTGGCCGCCAGACCTGGGCACAGCCTCCAAGCTGGCCCGGCCCAAGGCAGGGAAGAAGGCCCAGGGGCGCCTGGCAGTGACCTCCCAAAGGGGAACCTCGCACCTTCAGATGGGGCTGAGGGCAGCGTGGGGGACGCCAATACCTCATCCGCACCCAGACGCATGAGGAATGAAAGCTCGGGTGAAACTCCACAGCCTCTTTCCCTCTCTGGGGTCCTGGAATTCCCATCATGTGGGGGGTTTTAACATTTCTTTCTTTCTTTCTTTCTTTCTTTCTTTCTTTCTTCTTTCTTTCTTTTCTTTTCTTTTCTTTTTTTTGTTTGTTTTAACGTTTCTGATGGGGCACAAGCCACCGTGGATTTGGAGCAGTTCCTAACAGGGCCACAGAGGACATGAAACTTGGCATGTGACTTCGAAGTCACGCCCATACGTCTGACGCCCATGCACAGACCGGGTGACGGGCACTGTCGGGGAGCAGGGACGAGTAACCAGAAAGACGGGACAAGTGACTCACAGCTCTGCCATTTCCTATGGGACCCTGGACAAGTTGCGTCACGTCTCTGAGCCTCAGATATAAGACAAAGGGGAAATGACTGTCCCTGCCACAGCCCAGAGTGGCTGAGGAGATAAGAGAGGTCACTCTGGGAAGATGCCCTGCCTGTCACACGGGCTGTCCTAGGAACCGTGGCTATCGACCCTATATGTCGACTAAGGCCCAGGTGGGCACTAGAATTATTGGAGGGATCACTTTGTAGATTATATAATTGTCTAACCACTACGCTATACGACTGCAACAAATATAAAAAACACAATAATAAAATGAACCAAGGCCCAGGCAGGGGAAGGGACCCGGCCAGGGCTGCACAGAAGAGGTGGCCAGAACTCCTGGATCGCAGCAGGTGTTCCCGCTCCTGCCCCTAGGTGGCAGTGGCGTCCACACCAGGCCTGACTGCCTTGCCCCGCGATACTTACTAAAGGGCCTTGAAGATGCTGAGGCCAGGCAGCAGCTGCTCCACCCCAGCGTCGCCCAGGGAGTTGTGGTCCAGCTGCAAGGCCACAGGCCGCCGGAGGTGCCGCAGCACGAAGGCCAGAGCGGCGCACTCGGCGGGGCCCACGCCGCAGAACGTCAGCTTGAGGTGCTCCACGCGGAACCCGCGCACGGCCTCCCGCGCCAGCCGCTCCTCCTGCAGCTCGTACAGACTCCGGATGAGCCACAAGAACCCGGGCAGGGCGTGCATGCTCTTGGCCTCCCCCGGCAGGGCCGGCGGGATGGAGTGGAAGTGCTTCCGGAGGCTGCGGGCCAGACACCGGCGGGCGCAGGCCTGGCGCTGCAGGAGCGCCTTCTCGGACACCTGGCACTCAGCCAGCAGGCCCCGGTGCTCCTGGGACAGCAGCCCTGCCAGGAAGGCCGCCGTGATCTGGAGGTTGTGCGGCTCGGCCTCCCGCAGCAAAGCCTCCACACCGCCCTCCCTGCTCCGCGGGCCCTGCACGCACAGCACGGGCAGCAGCCTGGCCAGCCGAGAGCTCCCCGTCCGAGCACAACTGAACAGGTGTCTGAGCGAGGGTGGCATCACGTCGGCACCGAGCGCCAGGTAGAACGCGGCAAAAAAGCACTGGAAAGTGATGTGCAAGAACTCCAGCAGGGGCGTGCCCCCGGACGCAGCCCCCTGGGTATGCACCAGGAAGCCAAGAGAAATGTCCTCCTCGTCCACACCTGCTGCCTGGAGCTGCTTGGCCGAGAACACGTAGCAGCTCCTGCCCAGGCCCCAGAGAGCCAGGCGGCCGAGGTGCAGGAGGGTGGAGAGCCTGCCTCTGAGCAGGCTGGGCCCCAGCTCTCGGCGGGCCGAGTCTGGCGGGGAGGCGTGCAGCAGGAAACGCTGCAGGAACAGCAGGTACATGCCCGTGGTGGTCTTCGGGGGCCCCCCACCCTGCAGCAACAGTTCCTGGTGGCATCTGGACACCATCCACGCAAAGACAGGAAGGTGGCACAAACCGTGGAGGGTCGAGGTTTCTCTGAGCAGGCGGACCAGGCGGTCGGCCACGCCCGGCCCCCGGTGGCACTTCCTCAGGTACAGTTCGATCCCGTCTTCGGAGAAGCCCTTGAGGTGCAGCTCCGTGCGCACATACTTCCGGAGGAGCGGGGACACCGCGTCCGGGCGGCTGGTCAGCACCTTGCGGGCATTCTTTAACAGGTTGCCCTGAAGAAGGTTGAAGAGCAGATTCTGGACAGACGTGGGGTCCGTCGGAGAGCAGTGCCGCTCGCGATCCGTGAACCGGAACCTGAACTCGTCAAAGCCGTCGAAGGTTAAGAGGACTCGGTCGGGGTGGTCAAGGAGGAACTGGAAGACGTCTTGTTGGCCAAGGTCAGGCCAACAGCAGTGTTCAAAGAGCAGCGTTCGCACGGACAGGGGTTTTGCCGAGCACTGCAGCTGCCGGCAGCTGAACGGGAAGACGAAGAGAAACTCCTGGAAGTCCCGCCCTGCAGCCCAGAGCAAGTGCAGCTGCTGCAGGAGGGTGGTCTTGCCGCTGCCCGCCTCGCCCACCACCAGCACGGTGTCCGCATCCTCATTGAGGTGGCCACCGGTGCCAAAGAGCCCCTCCAGGCCCAGGGTGGCAGGGCTCTGCTGTGGGGATCCGGCCATGCCCACTTCTGTCCGGATCTCCAGAACATTCTCCGTGTATATTTCCTCCAGGCAAAGATTCTCTGCTCCATCGTAGGTGCTCAGGAAGCGAGACTGAGCAGAGACCGTGGTCCTCAGCTTGGAGATGTACTTCTTACACGCGGTGGCGTCTGGAAGACAGAGGAAGAGGCCGCCGAGGTGGAGCCTGAGCCGGGAGTGGCTGCAGCGTGCTGTTGCAGGCGCCAGAGAACGGCCAGCGGGCTCTCCACTCCCAAGCTCTGGACTTGGAGGACAGTCACGTCACCTTCCTCCCCCTCAGCTTCTTCCCCTGAGAAGCGGGATGGAGGGTGGTCCCTACCTTGTAAGGTTTTCACCTGGATCAAATAAGATAATTCACGTCAAGGGCTTTACTCAGTGTCTGATACAAAATCAGCTCTCAAAAGACATTCGTTAGTGCTGTTGTCGTACGGAAATTGGGACGAGCTGCTGCTAAGAAGGGGCCCAGGGCTGGACCAGGAGCCCCACCATCCTAGGCAGCCTTAGAGAAATCCCTGCACCACCCAGCCTCAGCCGAATCTTCCCAAAGGCAAGCAGAAGGGTGAACGGCCGAGGAGCCCAGCATCTGAAGTCAGACATCCCTGAGTTTGAAACCTGAATCCCCCCGTCAGCGTGAGCAAGCCACTTTTCTGGCCTTGGTGGGCGCATCTGTAAAAATGGGGCCGATCCACATCTGGGAGGATCATTTCAGGAGGAAACGAGGTAAAATAGACTTTAGAAGAAAAACGGTGTTTCGTATCATTATTATTAGTGGGTGTGTTTTAGGTACAACCATGGACCCCTCCTTGGCCCCCAAAGAGGTCCACATCCTAACCCTCAGAATCTGTGAATATGTTCGTTACCTTACTTGGAAAAGGGACTAGACGGATGTGATTGAAGTCCTCAAATGGGGAGATGCCCCCAGGTTTCCTGGGTGGGCCTAGCCCTCGGGGTCACTGGGGTGCCTGGGTCAGTGCAGGGATGAGATTTCCTGTTCGAGGTCCACTTCCTCATCCTCTCCACCCACCCTCTGCCGTTGGAGTCCCAGTACAGGGTGTGTCCACGGGGCTGCAGCTTTTCCTTTACCATCCCAGCACCCAGGCAGGCCACTGCCTTGTCGGGGACAGTTCCCCTTTCAGGAAATGGGGAAGTGGCAGCCTAAGGGGAGCTCAGAGCGTGGGTCACCCCGTCACGGCCTCACTGCCCCCTGCCACGTTCTGGGCCGCATGTTCTCAACCCAGAGGCTAACCGGCAATCTCCCCGGAGCACTCTTACAACACAGGAGCTGGACTGTGTCACATAAAGGAGACACCCGCACCTCCTCCTCCATTCCCAGAACTGGCCGCTGTTGCTCCGAAAGCCTCACGATGCCCTGGGACACTGAGCACATTTCTTCCGAACACTCTGGTTTTCAGTGCGGCCTTTCCAGCTATCGGCCAGCAATAGAGAAATTCCCCAGGAAAAAGCATGACCACTCATTTTAAAAATAAACGATGCCACTCGTCCCCATCAGGACTGTCACCTGGGGGAACCGTGCACCATGGCACGGGGTGACAACAAGTGTGTGGCCAGTGGTGCTCATGGATATCAGCAACAGACGTTAACCAAGGGCAAAGCGGGCGGTGACCCTGTGTGGTGCACATCCCCCGCCGTCACTTATGTCTGAGCTCTGTTCTCAGGTGACAGTGTGCACGTCCAGAGGCCAAGCACAGGCTTCTTCTGGTCACCCTTCCCATGGGCACGCTCCCCGCCAAGAGGGGCGCCCCAGGGTGACAGATCCATCCGCCAGCACCACGCAGAGACGGGGCCCTCAGTGCCTATGGGCTTTCCCTACGGTGCCAGGAGAACAAGACCCAGAAAGCACCCAGCTTACATCTCTCTCCATCTCCACTGACGATCGCTTCTCCCAGGAAAAGAGAAAGCAAAGGTGCGGACTGTCTACAACCAGCCCGTACCCCCCCCCCACCCTGCCTCCTGTGCCAGGTGTCCCATCTGTAAAGCAGAGAAAGTGACACCTATGTCTCAGGGGACAGAGACTGTAAACGAAGCACCCCCAGGACACCTGAGCGGGGCGGCCAACCCCGTGGGACGAGCCCTACCATGCTGTTCAAATCCATCTGGTTCTCGAATTTTCAATAGTGAGTAGCTACATCACGGAGATTGAGAGATACCAGCCCTCAGTGAGGTCTCTAAATGCCTAATCACTCTGTCGTACACCTGAAACTCGGATAATGCTATCCATCAACTGTAACTGGAAAATAAAGCTAGAAGTAAAAGAGAGACCAGCCCTGTCTCAGAGTGTGCCCACATCTTTTTAGTGCAGGTCATGAGAGTTTGGCTAGTAAGCAATACCCATTGTCAGCCTTCAATACACAGTAGCTCCAGAGATCATTCTGGAAATAATAAAAGCTAACCCTGATATCACCATGAACCCTGTTCATCCTCCCAACGGCCCAGTGAGGCAGTGATGGTGTTACCCTTGAATCGGGGTAGCCGGGTCCGGGAGAGACTCGCTCAGCCAGCCTCTGAGAGACCAGCTGACGTGCCTGCACCTGGAGTTCTCTGCCCTGAGCCAGGACCCTGCTCAGCCCCTCCTTTCTTGTCTGATGGACCAAGAACACACGCACATATACATACCTTCGAAAGGTAGGGTCGGCGGGACCGGCAACTCCAGAACGTGCTGGAGGAGGAAAGCAGCCAGCCCGTTGGCCTTCACCGTGGCCAGATCCAGGAGCCTTCTTGCCTGTGGGGAAAGCGGAAGTGGTTACTTTTTCCAGAAGGGCTGAGGGACAAGTGTGGGGATTCCTGTGACTTCATAGGCACAATAAGAGGCCAGAAAAACAAGCAAGCAACAGCATGAGTTTAGAGAAGTCCAATTCATTCATTAATAATGCAGGCATTTCATCAACAAGTACTTAATGGGGACTTACTATGTGCAAGGTACTCTGAGCACAGTAGGCTTTCAGCCAGAGCCTACCATGTAGTAGGCATCTGAATACATTCTGGCTGCACTTAATTAATGATTAATGAACGAGTCAGGCACTAGGTCCAGCCCTGGCCCTCTCTGCAAGCTGATTCAGAGCACTTTCTGGACCTCAACTCCCCAATGTATACAGTAGGAAGTTAATGACGGCTTCGTCTGTGACACAGGAGGCCTGAGGGTCACTGTTTGGGGGGAAATAGAATGAAGAGGCTCCAAACGCTACACACGTCTGTGTTCTTGTGGAATGGCACTTTCTGAGGCTAAGCTACATCCCCGCTTGGGCTCTCCACGCCCTGACACAGTGGCACATCAGAACTGCTGTGTGGGCACTGAAACTGTGTGGGTGTATGCTGTGCTCATCTGAATTACTGCAGCTTTAATTTCATGAATTTTTATGACCTGCAGTATGTTGAGCAAACAGACTGCAACAGAAGGCCACAGCAGGCAATATCGCGGTCAACAGAATTGCTGGTGGCCGGTGGTGATGCTCGTGAGTGCTCACTATGCGCTAGACACTGTCTTGGGCGTTACACAAAACGACTCACTGATTTCTCCCCAGAAGCTACTGGCACTTTTACAAATGAGGAACCTGAGACAGAAAGGCCAGGGCCAGAGCGTTTCCATGGTGAGGATGGCCTCGTTCTGACTCCAGCCTGAGCCCGTGGCTGCCGCACAGCAGTCCATCTCATCAGAAGCGGAGTGATTCCAAAATGCAACAACTCTTACCAGCCAGACCACCTTCTTAAGGGAAACCCACGGTCCAGGCCTCACCCTGGGGCTGACCTCACTCACGACAACGAATGAGTGCTGGTGACTCAGCAGCACCTTTTTCCTGCGAATCTGGATCACCCTGGACGGAAGTGCCTTACCCGCTGGGATGACGTGAAGACGGGCAACCTGATTTCGTCACATTCGTACGGGCTGATGAAACCGCGCGCCTGCGCCAACTCCAACACGCCCTCCACGTGGCCGTAGAGTCTCCTGACAATGGCTGGCCGGCAACACCGCAGGTCCCGGGCTGGGTGGGGTGAGTGGGGGTCCCAGTGGCCATGCGACTTTGGGGACTGCCTGTCGGCCTGCACTTCCTGCAAAGCCGCGACGAGCTGCTCACAGCCCCAAGCACCTTTACTCCAGACCGTGTCCAGGAGGCGCCGGGCCAAGTGGGAGAGGGGCTGGCCGGGAAGGCTGAGGCCCTCGTAGTCCTCCCAAGACAGGACTTCCCAGGACAGGAGCCAGTCCAGGACGCTCTCAAAGCCCTCCAGGGACCCCGAGACCAGCAGCTCCACCAGCTGGCTTCTCTGTGCCCCGAAAGCCTCCTGCGTGCACATTTCACCTCCTGGGGAGGAGAGCGGGGACAGCATGACTTCACCAGAAGCAAGAAAGCTGTGGGGGGGCGGGGGAGGAGGCCAGTCTGCTCCACCCTGAGTCCAAGCTAACCACAGTTCAGCCTGCAGGCACTCCCCCATCCGAGTCCCCCATTGCACAGATGTGCAAACTGAGGCCCAGAGGGGGCAAGAAACTGGCTCAAGGTCCCACAAGGAGTTTGAAGCAGGCAGGAGTTAAATCAAGACCCCTGGCTCCCATATCCAGGCCTCATCCCCGGCTCAGGGAGTTTAAAAGAAGTCTGAGCCAGTATTGAGAGCCAGGTCTGCCGAGGGGCCGGGAACTGACCTCTCTCTGAGGCCGTGTGCCAGGGCTCCCGCGTGCCAGCTGGGTTCAGGCCATATGCCAGCTGATGCGTGCTGCAGTCATGGCTCGTATTCGTTAAGCACCTACAAGGTAACAGGCACCTTTCTAAGCAGTTTCCAGTCTGAATTCATCTACCCCTCCCATCCACTCTGAAGTAGATCTGAAGATGCCATGACCAGCCCCATTTTACAGATGGAAAAACTAAGGCACAGAGAGGCCAGGGGACCTGCACAAGTGCTCACAGACAGAGGAGGTGGGTTTGACCTCCAGCAACACAACTCCAGAAGCTTGCCTTTGACCCCTTGTACCTGGGTTCCTCACAGGGGCCTGAGCCCATGCCTGTGTAGGTGACCCTGTGCCACCCCAAGGGGCAGACCCAGCCCTGGCCGCTGTGGCTCAGTGGATTGAGCGTCAGCCTGAGAACCAAAGGGTTGCTGGTTCGATTCCCAGTCAGGGCGCAGGCCTGGGTTGCGGGCCAGGACGCCAGTAGAGGGAAGGCAACTCTCCCTCTCTTCTCCTTTCTCTAAAAATAACTAAATTTAATTTCATTTAAAAAAAAAAAGAAGCAGCCCCAGAACACTGCTAAAACTCAAGCGAAGCAAAAATCATTGCGCAAACCCTGTGGCTGCAAAGCTTGAGGGTGCACTGACCCCGGTCATCACTGCCCGCTTCCCACCTGCCCCAGGCCCCCCCCCACCACCAAACCTCACATGCTGTCGCCTCCGTCCACACTCAGCTCGTGCTGGGCTCGGCCCTCAGCCTCTGGGTTCTGAGAATTGAGGGGAGGCAGCCTCTGGAAGATCCAGGGAGGGTCCCCAAGCAGCAGAGAGAATCTCCTAGCAGGGCCTGCTCTGTGGCTGTCACAGGTCCTGGCAAAAATGAAAGTAAAAGGGTACAGGCACGGCCAAAGAGGAGGAACGCATGCTGCTTTTTATACGGCAGGGACGTTCCCAGGACTTTGGTGACTGGGCAGCCTTCCCATTGGCTCTTTATGGGTCTCACTCCCTTCTGGCCCCAGGTCTTAACTCATCATGGCATCCTGAGACTTGGCAGAGGGTGGGGCCCTTGAGGGGCACCGTGGGAATACTCCTGAGCCAAAAGTCCACCGAGGGAGGGGAGAGCATTCTGTGCCTGCCGCCACATGCCCGCCAGGGGAAGGGAAAGGAGAAACCTCCAACGAGAAGCCTTGTGCTGGCCGGGTGGGGAAAGAGAGCAGCGGGGTTGCCTGCGTGTCTGGCAGCTTGGGAAGGAGGGCATTCCCGATACAGAGGGTAAGCGAAGCAGGACCTAAAACCGTTCTCCCTGGCCAAGCAGGCTCCCCATTTGTACCCACGGCCGAGCAGAGGTGTCAAGAGGGTAGAGGTGGGGAGGGGAGGGGAGAGAACAGGAGGAGGCAGGAAGAGCACTGGGCCCTGCGGTGGTTCTCAGCCGAGCAAACGCCAGCACCCCTGGGGAAAAGAACCACCCAGCTCTCTTCGGGGCACAGCCCAAAAATGGGGTCGGCACTCACCCCCCGAGCCAACACCTGCAGGGCATGTGGGCAGCCAGGAATGAACGAAGTTTAACAGTTAATATGGCCCAGGATGAGGCGTGCCGCTCCCTCCCAGGGCAGACAGCTGCTCTCGCCTCTGAACCCAGACGGTCTGGGTCACCCTCTCTCTCATCACAGCTCATCAGGGTGAGCGAGCGGGCATGGCCAACTATCTCGGGCACACCCTGAGCAGGAAAGGCTAGGCCAGGTGTGGCAAGCCTCGCTTCGCCAGGGGAAACCCCGAAAGAGTGGGCCAGAAGCCAGAGTTGGCCAACCTGTCGTCTGGGACTAGGTAATTTTGGGCCATTCTGGCAGAAAGCCTTGTGCATCGGCCATGACCTCCATGGGGCCCTGAGACACACACCCAGGTGTGTTCACCCACTGGGGACAAGTAAGCAGGGCCCTTCCTGAACACACCGAGTCCAGGATCCCAATGGGTGGTCGAGCCACACAGATCCAAGCAGTAATGTTAGGGCTCAGTGGACACTGGGAGGGAGAGGCAGGGCAATGCCATAGCAGTCGACACTCTATTCTCCTACGAGCAGCTGGAAAGTCCCATCTCTGCCCGGGCCCTGTTCCAGAAACCTCAGGGCAGGGAGAGTTCCCAAAGATCAACTTGTCCAGCACCCTGTCTCCAAGCCAGGCTTGTCCTGTTCCATCTTAAACATCCAAGAGGGAGGACCTGGCTTTGTTGCTGTCCTCATTAAGCAGCTCAGGAAGTTCCTTATGATGTCTAACTTGAGTTTCTCCTGCTCCGCTTTAAATTGGGAGAGGGAGAAAACAGATGTCTGCTCAACAGATGTCCTGCCTTGCTGAGACAGGGCCAAGGGGAAGGGGTGACCCACGCAGACCCTCCCTGATCCCCAAGCTCAGGCCCAGACACCTCCTTCCTCCCTGAGACCACAGCCAGCCTGGGTCTCGGGGGCCCTGCCTGAGCAGCGGATTTGCTTCAGGGATGAAAGTTCAGCCACTCATTCTCTGCAGGCCGAAAGGGAGGGGGCCCTGGGGGGCCCAACTTCTGAACAGCGTCTCATTGGCAAGCAGTTGGCCATTACTTACCCTCCACAGCAGAGGGGCCCTGCCCTGGGTCCCCGCCAGCCTCAGATCCCAGGGTGCAGGCTGGCAACAGGGCCTTGAGTAACCCACGAACGTCAGGGCAGAGTGACTGGGACGCCAGAGCGGAGGCAATGAGAGTGTCGCTCTGGTTCTCTTCACCAAGGGGTTTCCCCTGCAGAGACCAGGGACCCTGTGGCCAGGTGGCAGCCCAAGGGGGGACCACCACCGCAACAGGGAGAAACCCGAAGGCTCAGGAAGAGGGAGAGAAACCAGGGCAGACTGAGGGCCAGGGGTTCAGCTTGGGGGGCTTGTTAGTTTTCTGGGAAGCAAGTAGGGTCAGCTGGGGGTTCCCCAACACGAGGCGCACGAGGCAAAGACACAGAGGATGTGAGTCTGGGCAGATCCTGCTGTGGGTCTGTCTGGCAGCGGTGAGAGGGTGAACAGGGGTCTCTGCACCCAGCAAGGTGGGTTGCACCAGACACTCCCAAAGGAGTTACCGGGCCACAGGAAATGTGAGAGATCGCCCGAGCACTCCCTCACCGGAACCCACCCGCCCTGAGGCATGCATGGAAAAGATGGGGAGACAGAGGCCCAGACAGGAGAGAGAGCAGTCCTGGCCGAGATCTGAAGCCTGGCCTCATTCCCAGGGCAGCAGGGGCCTCAAGACTTTCCAGCAGGCTCGTTCTCCCTCCACTGCCCCCGACCCGTTCAATCACCACGGCTCCCTGCACCTTAAAGGCTCAGGGGGCCCATGTCCTCAAACCTCATCTTCCACAGCCAGAGCCCGCCAGGGGGCTCCCCCTCCTTGAGATGCCCGCTCTCTGTCTACCTTCCATGTAGACTCCGGGATCCTCCAGGAGAAACTGAAGCAGTCCTTCTCAAACCCCGCGGCCAGGAGGGTTCCAAAGCCACGTGTCCGAGTCCCGGGGCGGGACCCTCGGCTCCCACCGTCTCCTGGCGACACCGGACACTGGAGCACACAGTCCGGGCTACTGGCAACCCCGAGTCTTCCCTGCAGTCGGGGCCACCACTTCAGGATGCCCAGGCTCCTGAGCTCTGCCCTGCCCGCGCCGGGCCCTACCCGCGCTTGGTCCCGCCCACCTGCAGGGCAGCCACGCCCCCTGTGTCTCATCCCACTGTGCCTGCCTCCCTGGTTGCCACACCTCCGCCGAGATTGGCTGGGCTACCTGTAGGGCTGGACCACTCTGGCTGCTTGACTCTGGCCAAGTATATCCTGGCTTCCGGGTCACCTTTCAACAGGAGGGAACCAGAGAATATCCCTCCTAACACGCCCCCCTTCTCTCTCTCTCTCTCTCTCTCTCTCACACACACACACACACACAGTGACATTCTGTGAAATGAGAAGCCAGGAAATGCAGTGTCAGAATACACCGCAGGCTTTGAGAGGGGTCAGTGAGCCCACAGCCATCTGAAGCCTTAATACTGTGGGGTCCGAGAGCAGTGCTTTGGGGGTGTGATGAGTTACACCTCAGGTGTGTCTTCTTTTTTTCCATTTTTCTTTCAATTCTGCTTTCTGAGTTGAGGCTCTCAGTTTTGTACCAATGGGGCTCGAGCACCTCTTGCTGATGACTTCTTATTGTCCCAAGCAAGTGACACTAGTTTTCCATTCAAGGTATTAATATAAATGTTCCATTTAAAAACACTTGTATTTGGAGATTTTTTTTTGAGGTCGAGGCTATTTAAAGAAAAAGAACTGGTATTTGCACAGTGCTTATGTATACAGACTCAGTTAGTACCGTCTCCAGGGCCTGACTAACATTGTCCCTAAGTGACAGATGAAGAAATCGAGGCACGGAAACATTAACCTACCCAAGTGGTGACCGCAGAGCCAAGGTTCGCCCCAAGGCGCCTGACCAGTTCTGGCCCCAGCCGCCACCCCACACGGCCTCCAGGTGAATGCCTGCACAGGAAGTCGGGTCAGGGCTGGGAAGTGCCACCCCCGACGGGCTGAAACCACCCCAGGAGAATCACCCCAGGCGGCACGCCGGGCTATCTGCCGGCATGCTCAGGACTAGCCTCCCTCTCACAGTGCCAAGCCAGCCACCCCCTAAATGCCCCATAACAGGGGGTTCCCTAGGACGACTGGCACAGCGACTGGGAAACTTGGCTGCCCTGTCTTCTTTCACAGACACAGCCAACCTGGGAGCAAGTTTTCCCGCCTGACCTTAAAAACGCATCCAGAATGCAGCCCCTTTGTACCAGGCCACCGCGACCACCATGGTGCCAATCACCAGCATCTCTTACCTGGGCTACAGGGATCCCAGCTGCCAGCCATGCTTCCAATAGCAGCTGGTGTGAGTCTATTAAAGAAACAAAGTCAAGTTATGCATCATTCCTGTGCTGAAACCCACCGGTGACTGCCATTTCAGAGTAAATGCCAAGGAGGGGCTTCAGGATGGCCATTTGCACCCTGTACTCTCTCAGGACCCCGTCCTCACCTCCCCCTCCTTCCAGCCGCACTGACTTCCTCTGTCCCTGGAACACACCTCGGGTCCTTTGCATTTGCTCTTCTCTCTGCCGGGAATGCTCGTCCTCTCCACACCTGCGTGGCTCCCTCTCTCCCTGGCGCATGTTGCGTTTTTCCCCATAGAATTTATCCGCACCCAACATACTGCAGATTTTCTTCTCTGTTGTCTTTGGTGTCAGTCTCTCACCCCAGAGACCGTGCTATCTTTTCGAGTTAGTATTTTCACTGGCTTTGGATAAACACCCAGAAGCGGAATTGCTGGACCCACGGTCAAGGGGACGATGACACCCTCCCACGGCTGACCTGTGCACACACAGCTGCGCAGGAATGGCACTGACAGGACTCAATTCTGTATCACTTAAGGACACCTCAAGGTTTAGGGTTTTGTTTTTGTTTTTTGCTTTTTAGTTAGTTTGTTTTTGCCAGACCTGTGAAGGCACACCTGTCAGTGATCAATTCTTGTGGAATTTACAAAAAAATTAAGAAACGTGTCCGTGTTGGGGGTCCCAAGCCTGTCGGACACCCCGAGTGGGGGTGAGCAGTAGTGTATGGTGTTCAGCCACTCGCCCACTGGTGTGAGGAGGAGCCTTAATGTCATTTCGTATCACGATTAGAGAAACTGAGATTTAGAGAAGGGCGGCGGCCTGCCCAGGGTACCCAGTGAGCCAGGGCTGAGCCCGGGCCACAGCACCGACCCCACCCTCTGCGTCACCCACTCACTTACCCATTTCTTCGTTCATCTGTCCCCACAGCAGTCACTGAGCACCCATGCTACTGTGAAAGTGCTGCTGTGGGGACAGAATGACAGAGTCCCCGCCATCATGGTGTCTGAGACCAGCGGTGCACAAGTAAACTAAGCAACCACAGTTCTCAGCAGAGGGGTCAGGGGAGGCCACACAGGGAGACACGGCTGAGCCGCAACATGAGGATGAGAAAGAGTGAGTCGTGGAGGAACCAAGAGAAGGGCACTGTCAGCTGAACGAAGTGCCAGGGCGCGGGCTGGGGGGCGGGTCTGAGGACAGAAGGCTGTCATGACACTGCTGTTTGTAAGCGGCTGGAGTGGGGCCGGCCTCCGGTGGGGTCTGCATTACTCCTGAGGCAGCAAGAAGCCACCCTAGACCCGAAGGTGCCGGCATTTCCTTTCCTGATGCCCTGGGACCCCTCGGTGTCCCCTTCTCACCATGTGGCTCCAGTACTACAGTGGAGGGCCACCCACTCCTGTGTCCCCTCCCCTTCTCGACAGTGGGGCCTTGCCTGTCCCTGGAAACACAGAGCCCCTGGGCCACACCGAGCTCTGGGCTGCAGAGAGAAGCCAGCTCCTGGCAGGCTACCCTGGTCCAGCTAGGTTCTTCCTGCACAGGCCAGACACCCCCGTGTCCGGGGCTTTCCGGCAAGTGTCTCCTGCCCCCAGAAGAGGAAGCAGAGACTCCCACACACCCTGCCCCGTGGTCGCCAGCTGCTCGGTGGGAGGCTCGCAGGACTGGAGAGAAGCGCTCCATCTCTCCATCCTGGCCAGTGTCTTGCAGACCACGCAGGCCCAGGCCGAGAGTGGGGGGGAAACCCGGAAAGCTGCAGGGCAGGACCCAGGGCAGGAGGGGAGAGGGAGTGCCCGCCCCGCTCCGCACGGAGCCCACGCCCCAGCCTCAGCAGCCACCTGCAGGCAGTGCCGGAGGGAGATGAATGGAGTACGGGCCCTGCCCTCAGGGGCTCACCCGCCAGCAGGCCAGACCCACACTCTCAGGATGCTCCCCTTGAATTAAACAGACCCTGATGTATGCAGATACCCTTTTTTTCAGGAAAGATTTTATATATTTAATTTTAGAGAGAGGAGAAGGGAGGAAGAAAGAGAGGGAGAGAAACATCGATCGGTTGCCTCTTGTATGTGCCCTGACTGGACACTGAACACGCAGCCCAAGCCTGTGCCCTGACTGGGGATTGAACCAGCGACCTTTTGCTTTGCAGAACAACGCCCAACCCACTGAGCCACACCGGTCAGGGCCAGATACTCTTTGTACAGCCTGTGCACCGGCCATTTCAATAAGCAAGGCCAGTAGGTAACTGTGGAGGCGTAAATACGGCGCCTCTTACCTCACACCGTACACAAAACTCCACCCTAGATGAGACTGTCAAACTGGAAAGGTTTTGGAGTGGCCGGAATCGCCACCGCTCGCCCAGCGCCTCCCGCGTGCTGCCCGGGTTCTAGGTGCTTTGCCCGTCTTTGCTCACCCCGAGCCTCACGACAGCCTGTGAGACGTCACTGCAGAAATACTCCTACTTTGCCATGTATCATGCACACCCATGTTTTTGGCCCAGACTTTCAGAGGAAATAAAGTCTTTCATTTTAATTTTTTAATTCAATCTTTTATTTATCTATATTTAGAAATAAAACTGATTATCATATTCCAGGGTATTGTTTTGTATATGGGTATCATTATTTCTCCCTAGAGTCACACTTTTAACTCATAAGCGTAAATTAAAATTAAAAACATTTATATAGATACGAAATTAGTACTACTCAGGTATTATGCCCATCTTTATTTTCCCCTCAAACATTTGGGGAAAAAAGTATGCATTATACATGGCAGAATATGGTAATAAGAAAGGAGGAAGTTCCAGGACTTCAAGGTATAACACCCCCGTTGAAAGAAAAGACTGAAAAAAAAAACAACAAAGAAAAGATTGACATGGTTGAATACTTGAAAGTCAGCAACTTCTAGTAATCAAAACACTCCCTTCAGAGACTACGAATGCAAAGCACAGGAGGGGGGAGACTGAGAAGCCTGCACCCCAGTGAGCTCGTGAAGAACACCTCCAGCCCACAAGGAAAATAATCCGATCAACACTGAGCGACGGACTTGCACAGACGCCTCACCAAGGAGGATCTAAAGATGGCGATACGCCCACGGGAGGATGCTCAGCATCACCGGTCAGAGGGCACGTAACCCGAAAGCAGGACAAGCTGCCGCCGCACGCCCACGAGAACAGCTGGAGAAAGGGCACCTCGTTCAAATGCGGGCCAGGGCGTGGAGCACCTGGACGCGTCACTCACCATGGGCGGGGCTGCGGGGGGCGGAGACACAGACTGCCACTCAAGGAGATGGTGTGACGTAACCTGGTAACCTGTTAAAGGAGCAGCCAGTCATTTCGCCTGAGATAAACAGGGGCACTTGCACACGCGTGTGAGAGTATTCCCAGGAGCATTCATCGTGACAAACAACCCGAACGGGCATCCACAGACCGAAAAAAAAAGGAGGGGCGGAAATAATCATGTATTTGGAAATGGAGCAAGACAACCATGAAAACGAAAAAGCTCCAGCTACACACGAAAGGGCATGAATCTCACTCAAATCAATGAATGAAAGAGACCAGACGTGAAAATGTAGGAAGAGTTCGTGCGGTTCAATGCACAGAAAATTCAAAACATGAGTCAAATGAGGCTGTTGTTTTGGGGTCCATCCACAGGTGGTTCTAATCGCGGGGTGGGGAATCAGAGCTGGAAGACGCACAGTGGACCACCGAGCTTCTGTTTTTTCTCTTGTGCCCACCTGCTGCCCTCAAGGCCACCACGCTGGTGCCCGTGAACCGTGCAGCCTCCAGAGGCGTGGCTTCCCTGGTTCTTTCTGTCGGGAGCGTGGGAAGCAGCTTTGCCCAGAGAAAGGCACCAAACGGGACTATCAGTCTACCCCACCTCCCTCCCCAACCCACACTGGCTCTGGCCCCCCCTGCTCTGTGCTCCTGGCCTCAGTTTCCCCATCTGTGAATGGGGTATGAGGCCCCCCCCCCCGTCTTGCCTAGCTCATGGCAGGATAACAAACACTGAAGAGCTTTGGGGCCTGAGGTCTGAATGTCAGAGATTGTTCCAGGACAGGGAGGGACAGCCGGGCCACTGCAAGGCTGTGGGAGGTGAGTTCCAGCTTGAACCCTCAGAGCTGTCCGTCACTGGGGTTCACTACGCCATCTTTCACCAGCCAATGGGCTGGGGTGACCCGGAACAGGTCACACACCCTGTTTCCTGTTTTCAAATGGGGAACTAAGGGGAGCCACAGCCACTCGGCTGCTCCCCGGGAGCCGGGCCGGAGAGCTGGAGGGGGCCGTAGGACACGCCCAGCGGACCCCCGGACACCCACCGCACAGACGCCTCAGGTCAGAGGTGGGCCTGAGCCTGTCCTTCTGGGACCCAGGCCTCTGTAGCTGTTGGGGGTAGGGCGGGACAGAGAAGAGTCGGTGACAGTGTCTATACAGGGGGAAGGGGTCTCCTTAGCGCCCTGGGACAGAGCAGGGAGCAGCCCCTCAACCCTTGTGGCCTCAGTTCCTTTTGAAGTGGCTGACACTTCTACCACACCTCCTGAACCTGGGGAATAACTCACCACACCTGTGCTTCTCAAAAATGGTGCCAGGGAACCCCTGGACTGTGCCCCCAGACCTGCTAGATTGAACTCTCTGGTGTTGGGAGCCAGGAATCTGCCCTTTACTGGCCCCCAGCACCGCCCCCCCCAGAAAGTTCCAGTGCCCACTCACATGTGGGTGTCCCTCCAGTGTCTGGGTCCTCTGTCTCCCAGGTCAGGCCAGGCCCGCTGGTGTCTTGGCCCTGATGGCCAGCCCTCTGCCGCCCCTTTGAGAGGCAGCGTGGGTGGTGAAGGCGGCCCTGGGTGGACATCAGAGGGACTGGACACGGCAGGGGCCCTTGGAGCAGGAAGTGACGTCCGGGGCACCGAGGAGGGAGCAGACCGACAGCGCAGGGGCTGGACGGTGCAGGGGCTGGGAAGCTGCTCTGGGCCCCGGGCCAAGGACGGGCGCCTGGCCACCAGCAACGGCGCCTGCAGTGTTGTAAAGTCTAGAAATCTTTGCTACACAGGCTGTGGGGAACGGAGGGAAGGGCCCACAAAACCCCACATGTCGCCGTCCCCAAAGGGCATTTGCAATTACGGGATTGCTTCCCCATCTCACAGATGAGGAAACTGAGCCCTTGAGAGAGACAGGAAGCTGCCTCACACTCCTTCCTGCTCCTCTAAATGGTGGCAGCCCACCGATCCCATGAGAGAAAAGGCTGGGGCCTGGCTTTGGCTGCTGAGCTGGATTTTTATTCTGAAAATAAAACTGTTCAGCGTACCCAAGACTTTACTAAGTGGCCCAGCCAAGGTCATCATTCCTGGGGTCTCAAAGGGTCTCTTGGCAAACAGTGCCCTGCTTCTGACCGGCACCAACTGGAAGGGCTGGGACCACTGAGGCCAGGGACACCCGCCATCAGCCATTGTACAGACGAGCTAACTGTGGCAGGCGCCTAGGAGGGCCCACGGGAGACACTGGGCCCCAAGGGTCCCAACCACCGGGGGTCTGTCAGATAAGAGTGTGTGTGGACCACTCGCTCTCTTGCCTGGGCACCCACCCAAATACAGGGAGCCCGCCCCTCGCCACCCACCATCTGTCAGCAGCACAGATTGCTCAATGGAGAAACCAAGGCCTGAAGACACTCAGGGACTTGCCTATGGACCCACCATTGGTCAGGACAGAGGCCCGACTCCTTGATGGGAGATGAGAGATAAACAAAGTGTACAAGCCATGCCCCCCTCCATGCCTCAGTTTCCCATCTGTATAAGGGGAGGTTGGGCAAAGGCACCTGGACTCATTGGACGACTGCCCAAAGCCACCAGGGGCTTGGCCCAGCGTTCCTTTCGCCTGACACAGAGAGAGCCGCCCCTGGAAACAGGGGCCCCTGGCCCGAGCCGACCTCGCCTCTCCCCAGGCCCGGCCAGATCCAGGAGGCCCTCAGCCCCTGGCACCGGGGTGGGCTCTGGCCACAGTCAGGAACACTGCTAGGACTGTCCCAGTACAGGGGTGCAGACGCAGGCCCAGAATCTGAGAGACCGGAGTTCAAGTCCCAGCTCCAGCCCTGTGACCCACCTGCAGCCCCTGCAGCTCCTGTGAAAAAGGGGTCAAGGTCGCCGGCACCCTTCTCATGTGAATTCCTGCTAATGTTTTAGTCATCCCTTTTTCTGACTTGTCTCAGATGTTTAAAGTTCTGTTCCAACGCATACCTCGCTTTAGAGTCATTTACTTCTCAATTACCTCCTGGAGTACCTGTCACAGGTACAATCAGAGCAGGGACAATGACACAGTGCCGGGCCTGGGGGTGCCCTGAGCTGACAGTTGCTTCACACGGATGCCGACCTCAGGAAGGGGGCCTCTGTCGGACTGCCCTTCAACAGGAAACTGAGGCGCATGCGGGAACTGGCCAGGCACCGGTTTATGTCATTTGGCGCCCGCATCATGGACAGCACTGCATACACTGGCCCCAGGGCTCCGCTGCGCACCCTCCCCCAGCCGGGTGGAGAGGATCCTGAAGTCAGGTCAGTCCGCGCTGGTGTCCTGCCCACCACCGACAAGCTCCTGATCGTGGGCAGGTCGAAGTCTCAGTTCCTTTATCATAAAATGGGGATTCAACTTTTCCACAAAGACGGCACCCAAAGCAAAGAAGGAAGCCTTGCCCCTCCCAAAGCCAAAGCCAAAGCCAAAGCCAAGTGATGGGTGCTGAAAGGTGTCCACAGCTACGAGAAAAAGAAGAAGATCCACACATCACCCAACTCCCAACAGCCGAAGATGCTGCAGCCCCATAGGCGGGCTAACCATCCCTGGAGGTGCCCCCGGGAGAAATGAGCTTGACCTCTACGCCATCATCAAGGTCCCCCTGAGTACCAAGTCGGCCATAGAGAAGACAGAGGACAGCCACACACCTGTGTTCATTGTGGAGGTCAAGGCCAACAAGCAGCAGATCAAACAGGCTGGGAAGACGCTCCATGACATTGATGTGGCCAAGGTCAACACCCCGATCAGGCCTGGCGGGGAGAAGGAGGCCTGTGTCCGACCGGCTCCTGATGAAGAAGCTTCGGATGCTGCCAACAGAAGTGGGATCGTCTAAGCTGAGTCCAGCTGGCTAATCCTAAATATAAAAGTTTCACACTGTATAAAAACACAGAGATTCAAATCTCCTACTGCACGGGGATTCAGACCAAGTGAGAGAGTGGGTGTCACCTGCAGAGGGCAGGGGTTGGCATGTCCCGGCACTGGGCTTCCCGAGTCGGGCACCCTCACCAGCCACGTGACCTTGGGCTAACCCTCAGCTGCTCTTGGGAGTCAGGATAGCCTTTCGTGGTCATTCAACAAGAGGGTGGCTGGGAAGAACCCGGGTGGCTGCAGCGGGTGGAAGAAGCTGTCAGTAAACGTTTGCTTAGTGATAGAGAGAGAGACAGGACAGACAGACAGGTGCCAGGATCTCCGCCCTGGACGCTGAGAGTTCACTTACAAATGTCACAGCAAACAAGGCATTGGGCAACTCAGTACCTTTCCTCCAGCTCATCACTAAAGCCGTTGTCACCTCTGCCAGAAGTCACCTCATTTAAAATTCACAGCAGCTCGGTAACATAGGGATCCTCACAAGAAGAAAGGGTCCAGTCGGCCTTGGACCAGTCGGTCCGGTGAAGGGCCAGACCCCGTTCAGCACGTGGCAGTCAGACGGACAGCTGGGCGGGCAGTGGAGGGCTCCGCCGTGGGGACTCTCGCACCAGGAACCCCACCGTGAGTGGACACTCACTGTCTCTCTTGTCCCCCCTGGCAGCCTTCAACATGGCAAGTGCCGAGCACCCTGGGAGCCCCGGATGGACAGGACGCATGGCCCAGAGCCGGGCAGCGGCCAAGCAGCAAGCGACAGCCAGTGGCCCGGATCTCCCATCTCCAGGACCTGAAGGGGACTCAGGTGGACTTGAGGCTTGGAGCTTGGTCAGGGGAACAGAGCTGTGCAGACATTTGAAGTTCACGTGCGGGCACTGTGGCAGCTGCCACTAGAAGGCAGGGCGGCTCCCTAACCAGGTTATCCCGCAGTCAGCACGGAGACAGGGACTTCGTGCAAGCGGGTTATCTGCCGGCGGCCCCCAGTGGGAGAGCAGGGCAGTGGGGAGAGAAAGGGCAGGGAGCCGCATGGGGGCCCATGGACAGATTACTGGGCAACGGGGGGTCCTCAGGAAGCCTATGCGGAGCATCCCTCAGAGCAGCCCCTCTGAGGAGTGAGGAGGCCAGGCTAAGACCCACCAGTCCCACCCTTCATGGCTGAGGGGCTCCCCACAGCAAGCTGCTCTAAAGCCCTGGGGGCAGGAGTCCTCCGAAGCCAGTGGGGTGGTCCCCAACAGTGCGCACCAAAGCGTCAGCTTTAGCGCCCACTCCTGGAGCCAATCTCTGCTCTGTGGCTGATTCGCTCATGTGCCCACTGAAGGCCTGCTGGGTCCCCATCCCTGGACAGGGAGCTACGGACACAGGAGCCAATCAAACACCACACTGGTGCCCAAGTTTAGTTGGGAAATAGGGCTGGAAGATCATTTGAGATGCCGTGGGAACGGCTATGGGGCCAAGTGGGCAGCTCTCTAATGCCATGAAGTGCTATGAGGGCGGGGTCTTGAAGGTCACATGGGAGAAGGGCCCCCTGGGACCCATATCCCTTGAAAGAAAATGCCCGATGATTTGTGCATTTTTGGTGGACAAAGATGCTCATCTCTGCCGGGATTCTCAGAGTGGTCCAGGGCTCAAGTGAGGTTTAAGGAATTTGGGAGGCAGGGATGAGGAGGGTGGTGCTGGGGACAGGAGGGGCAGAGTGTGTGAGAAAAAGCATGGCGTGCAGGCAGTGAGGGGAGAGGGTTGGGAGGGCCCAGCCAGGCTGAGCCCAAAGCCCACCATCCTCCCAGTCCCCTGTCCTACCCACTGACCTGTGCTCAGGAGGCCAGTGACAACTGACAACCAGAGTCAGTGGTGCAGGTCGTGCAGAGATGAGCAAGCCACAGTGCCAGCCCGGGGTTCCACAGTGGCCGACCCACCAGACAGAAGTGCAAAATGCAACACTGCACCTCACACCAAAACTGCTCAGGGAAGACAGGCTAGTTCAGGTCGCCTGTGGCAGGGTGGATTCCGCCAGGTGGGCACAGGGTCAGGCTGATGCCCAGCTGGACCTATTCTTGGTGGGATGGAGGCCGGGGGGAGTCACAGCTCTTCTGGGAATCCAATGCCCCACCCCGGACAGACCCGGCCATCTCCCCAGGCCCGTGCCCCCAAGTGCGCTGCCCCGGTACCAGTCCTCACGGGTGCTGTTCCGGCAGACCCCGACAGCAGCCTGAGTCCCAACTCCAGCATGACCACGCGGGAGCTGCAGGAGTACTGGAGGAACGAGAAGGGCTGCTGGAAGCCCATCAAGCTTCTCTTCGAGATCTCCTCGGCCCACATCGAGGAGAGAAAGTTCTGCAAGTTCGTGGTAAGCAGCGCCTCCTCCCCTGCCCCTGCCCCTGCCCTAATGCGGTGACTCAGCTTCCCCGGCCGTGGGCTGGGTTCACACACTTGCACTTCCCGAGTTCCTCTGGGGGAAGTGGTGCAAAAGTAAGACGTCATCCTCGCCACTGCGCCGGTGCCGTGAGGACGGGAGGCCTCGAGTCCCAGTCGCCAGAGCCAGCCATTAACCCCGGGGTTTAGTCACCCGTGTCTCATCGCCGTTTTTACCACACCCAGTGTCATTTGCGTGATCACTTACCTAACGCTTCCCTTTAAATTGGGCCACTTAAAAAAAAATCACTAAATAAATATTTCTAAGAAAGCCACCTTACAGGGAAAACCAGTACCATGTGGCAGGAAGAAAAGGCGACTGTAAACGTAAGTCCAAGGAAAGTGATGCACCGCTGTTCAGGTGCAGCCGGCTCCTGGCGGGGACGCCTGTGCGTGGGGCTGTTCTCCTGGTGAAAGCAGAATTTCAGCCTGGGTCTCGCAGTGGGGGCGTCAACGACCACGGAGGAGCCACACTCCACCTTTCTCGGGACCCCAGTTCTAACGACATCTGACACTGCGCACTGACCGCAGACTGGGTTCAGTGCCTCGACTCACTGAACCCTCACCGGAGCGAGGCCCCGAGAGGTCCCCTTAGCTGCCCGAGACCACACGGCTAGGCCAGAGGGAGGTGGGGCGGGTGGGCGCGATACCCCGGGCAGTCTGCCCCCGGCATCAGAATCCTTTTGAAAGAGAACTAGAAAGGGATGCTGGTCTTCCTGTGTAGCCCTGCAGCCCGGGTAGCCGCTGAACCGTCTGCAGGCGTGAGGCACCTGGTAACCCAAGGTTCCCCTCCCGGCACCGGAGGCCCAGTGCAGACCCCTCGCCTGGCCTGCTCCGTGCTCCTTCTCCCCGCCCGCACCCCAGCGGCCTCCTCGTCGCTGTGCTTGTTATTCTTGGGCTGACTCTGGTCACCATCCATTGTACAGCTCAGCCCATCCCCGTGGCACTTTAAAACAGAGTCACACACGAGAACGGCCCATTTCCAGGGCTTTGAATTAGGATAGTTGTGATTTGACTTGGCCAGGCACACTCTGTGGGTTCAAACCCTGCCAGTTCAGACCCTCTGTCGGGAAGTCCTCAAAGGCTGCCTCGTCTTACCTCGCAGGTGTACCAGGTGGTTGTCGTCCAGACAGGGAGCTTCGACAGCAACAAAGCCGTCCTGGGGCGGCGGTACTCGGACTTCCAGGCGCTGCAAAAAAGCCTGCTCAAGACCTTCGGGGAGGAGATTGAAGACGTGCCCTTCCCCAAGAAGCGCCTGGTGGGGAACTTCACGCAGGAGATGATCCTGGAGCGCAAGCTGGCCTTCAAGGAGTACCTGAGCCTGCTCTACTCCATCCGCTGCGTGCGCAGGTCCCGCGAGTTCATCGACTTCCTGACGCGGCCCGAGCTGAAGGAGGCCTTTGGCTGCCTGCGGGCCGGGCAGTACACCAAGGCGCTGGACATCCTGCTGCACGTGGTGCCCCTGCAGCAGAAGCTGACCGGACACTGGCCCACGGCGGTGGTGCCCGCCTTCTGCGCCATGCTGGTGTGCCACCGGGAGCTCGAGCGCCCCCTGGAGGCCTTCGCGGCCGGCGAGCAGGCCCTGGAGCGCCTGCTCGCCAGGGAGGGGCACCGCTACTACGCCCCGCTGCTGGACGCCATGATCCGCCTGGCCTACGCGCTGGGCAAGGACTTTGTGTCGCTGCAGGAGAGACTGGAGGACAGCCAGCTCCGGAGGCCCACCGCCCGGGGCTTCACCCTGAAGGAACTGGCCGTGCGGGAATATCTGTGATGAGCGGCTCTGGCAAGACCCGCTGGGGATCTGAGATCACCAAGTCTGGGGTGCCCTTCGGATGGGGAGAGCCACATCGGGCCACGTGGGGCTCTGACTTGCGGGGTGCCCTTGGGCGAGCGCCTCGTCTGGCCCTCCATTTCCCCATCTGCGTTGAACCGAGGTTCTCCCAGACACCCTTAGAAGCCTCTGCTTGTGTCCCGTGTCCCATGTCCCATGTCCCTTAGACATCAGGCTCACTTCATCTCAGAACCGCCAACCCACTGCCGGGACCTGGACGGGAGGCTCAACCTCACCCCTGCTCCTCTTGGCAGCTAGAGCAGAGTTTTCCACCGCGAACCGCGGGCGCACCTACTCCACTTCTTCTCCTTCTGGGTCCTTTCTGTCTGCTCCCTCCCTCGCCAAGCTGCTACCTCGGCAAACAGCACATATTCCCACCCACTTTCCTAAGCACTTTGGTCTTCCTTCTTAGTGTCTGGACCCAATCAGCAAACAGAAGGTGGGAATATTTGCTTTGGGCAAATTGACCAGTATGGGCCCGGGGTGGGCTGTCTGTCATCCTGTGAAGGGTAGAAGCCATCATGTCGTAAGGCATTTGTGGGGGGAAGGAGGGAGAGAGAAAAAGATCAGCGTAAGAGAGAAACATCAATCAGTTGCCTCTTGCACACGCCCCAAGCAGGGACCAAACCCACAAGTGAGGCATGTGCCCTGACTGGGAATCGAACTGGCAACCTTTCACTCTGCAGATTGACACCCAACTGATTAAGCCATAAGGCATTTTTAATAAGGACTGTTGACAGCTGTCCTCTAGTTAGGGTGATATAACTAGTGGCTTCCCCGGGTGATGAAGGCAGCCTGAGGGAAGTGGGAGAAGTGCGCAGGGGAACCTGGCAGAACACTGACTGAATGCTCACACCTCCCCATCCGAGGCACAGCGTTCTTAGAGGTTCTCTGGCAGGTTGGCGTGACCCCAGCTGAAGTCCGCTGCCAGGAAAGGACACCGAGGGCCCCAAAGTGGAGCGGAGTCTGGACCAGTGACCTGGGGTCAACACTGGACCAGCTGTGGATGGCACAGCTGGTGTGGGCCCAGTATGTGTTTGAGGCTGGAGGCTCCTGGGGCCCTAAACCGTCTGGCTGAGCTTAGTAGGGCAAACTACAGAGGCTGTGACCTCGGAACCCTCATGTGAGGCTCCACGCTGGCCTGGGCAGGAAGCTGGCTCAGCACAGGGGTACCCCAGCTGGGGACAAGCATTCACTGAGCCGCACCCGAATGCGCTTCAACAGTGACACTGTGTGGCAACACCAGGCTCTGTCCGGAAGGCTGGAAACTTGCTGATACCTTGGAGCAGAGAAAGCCTTCAGGCCCCTCCCTCTGCTCCAGGGAGGAAGGGCAACTCGGGTCGGGAGGTGCTGGGCTTCTTGAGAATTAAAGCGTAAGATGAGAAAACAAAAGCCTCGCCGACTCTCTGTTGCGATGCATTGCGCTGATTCTGCAGGTTATCTCATCAAAGAGACAACACTGGCAACTAGGAGGGACCCCCAGCGTTCACTAAGAAAGAGAAAAATGCCCAACCGAGGTGGAGGGGGAGTTTAATAGGCGATTCGGGCAGCGAGCTGGGTGAACAAAGAGGCCCAGGTATCAGGGTCCAGGTGAAGTCTGCCCGCTGGGTGTGGAGGGACAGGGACGAAATCTGTGAGTCCACCTGGGCACCAGGCGGAGGGTGGGGAATCATCTGGAATGTGAACTGCAGGGTTTGGGGTCTGATCACACACAGCGTGGCCCAAATACTCCCACGGAGAGGTCGTGGCAAAGTGGTCCCGGCCGGAGGCCTGCAGCTCGCTGAATAGAGTGACCCTCGAGCCAGGCCTGCTGAGGGACAGGACACCACTGAGTACAGAGGTGTCAAATGTGGGGGTAATGTGCACCCCAACATCACACGTACACGGTGTGTTTGTGGGGCAGGCAGAGAGAATTTTTCATCAACCCACATGGGGTAGGAGGGACCTACAGCATCATTTCAGGGTGTTCCCTACTAGGAACCCTAACACAGGGCTGGCTTCCTACCTTGTGCATGAAGGACACCAAGGGCAGCTTCCGGGTCCCACCTTGCCTCTTCCTGGTGACAGTCGTTGCAGCCCTCCCGGGTCTTTGACAGTTGTGCCCTGTCGGGTCACAGGTGCTCTTGGTCCTCCAGGACGCTGCCCCCACGGCCCTCCGCAGCCCAGGCTAGGGAGCAGAAGCAGCAGCAGCACCGTCTGGAGATTAGAAATGCTGAGTTCCGGGCTCCGCCCCGACCGGCCGAATCAGAAACTGCATGTTCACACGTGGCTTCCCCACGAGTAGTTCCTGTCTGCGCAGGTTAACCCTGGGGATGAAGTGCCTGGAAGGGGCCTGGATGAGGAGCGTCCCCAAGGCCCGGGCTGTCCGCTGGCCAGTTCCTCCCCCGCCCGTCTTCTCAGCCTAGGCTCCTCCCACACACCTGCCGGCCCAGGGCCCTGGAGCCACAGAGGGAACACCAGGCCAGCTCACCCACACCTGGCAACCGCCCTGCGCACACTCCCTGGAGACTGGGGGCCCTGCTGCCTGCTCCAGCAGCCCCCCTCCTGCTCTGTGGTCCCCCTGGACAGGATGCCCTGTGAGACCTGTGACTGGGATGCTGGCAGGTGAACTCCCCACTGTCCTAAGCCAAGACGGGACACAGCCCATTAGTGGCTGCCCAGCACTGTTGAGCCCTGCTGTGTGTCCGGGCTCCCTCACCGCTGCCCGTCCAGCTCTGCTCGGGAGATGTCCTTATTTCATTTAACAGATGGGACACAGACACCCTGAGAGGTTAAGCGACTTGCTCAAGGTCACCACCGCCAACAACAGACCAAGCAAGAAATTCGGCACAGGACTGAGTTGAACCACACTGGGAGGGGGGGGGGGTGTCCCTGGTCCTCTCACCCTTAGACACCCTTTAAGGTCATTTCACTCACGTCTGTTTATAGGTAGGGAAACTGAGGCCTGGAGAGGGGACCCACTCAAAGTCACACAGTGAGACAGGGCAGCCCCAGGGCCAGAGCTGGGCGTCCACATCAGAGCAATAGGGTGCAATGAACCTGGTCTAGAACTCCAAGGGCCCAGCCAGACCTGGGGCCCAGGGTCAGAACTGGTGCTGGGACAGAGCCTGCCAACCAGGACGCTCCCCTCAGGGTGGACTCCGGCCCCCTATCCCTGGCCCCCACCCCCACACCTGTGCTGCCCTAGCTCTGTGCCCTGCCCCCAGCTGCACCGCTGCCTGGGGGGGCAGTGAAACCAGCTCCAATTCCACCTGCTGGGGGAGGGAAGCTCCCACTGTCCCCAGGTCCCCAGCTGGCCTCTCACGGACTCCTCCAGACACTTCCTGTCCTTCCTGCCACAACTACAAAGGGCGGCCTTCCGGAAACCTCCCCTCCCTCCCTCCCTCCCTCCCTCCCTCCCTCCATCTGACTCGGTCACTCTCCTCCCTCCGGGCAGACAATGCCGCCTGGGAGGGGGGGTTCTCCAGCCCCTGGCCATTTCCTCCTGGCAGCCTCCTTTGTCTGAGGGAAACTTCCCATTACTACCCCTGCGGAAAGTCAGAATCACCTGTCTCGGTTAGAAAGCAGCTATGAAAGTAAACACAGAGACACCTCTCAGGCCTGAGCCTGAGACAGAGGCAGAGACGAGAGACAGAGGCTGGGTGTCAAGCAGAGGCTGCCCTTTGATTTTCTCAGGAGGACTGGCAAACACTGAAAGGAAGCTTCTGGCACGTAGCCTGGGCCATCCGATGTCTGCCCTCCGTCCCTGACCATCTGGGGGCTCCCTCCCTGCCCTTGGCCCTGGTCCCCATCCCCAAGCTCTGCCTGTTCTCCAGCACCTGGGTTTGGGCTTTGACTGACATCCTTGGTTTTCCACGCCCACTTGGGAGGTGGTACCCAGGTGGCAGCCCCAAAAGCCTGTGGCTGTGACATGGAGCAGACACCTTACCTGATAGCAGGTAAGACCCCCAAACAGAAGATAAGAACCCATCTAGGCTCATTTTCATTTTCTTAGCAAGCAACGAATAATGACACTCCTACTGGGTGCCAGCCCCTGCAAAGAGCTGAGGACAGAGCAGCAAACAGGCAGACCCAGTCCCTGCACTCACTGAGGTGACAGGTGAGAAGGCAGCCCCTCATGGACCTGGCGCAGGATGGTCTCCCTCAGCCAGATGGTCAGGGAGGGCTTCTCATAGGAGGAGGCATTTAAGGGGAGGTTCAGGAGTTGGCCATAGCAGCATGAGGAGGGGAGGATTTCAGGCAGAGGGAAAGTAGAAAATGCAACCCTGAAGCAGGAACGTCTTCCATCCCTGGGGACCCAAGGAGGCAGCCCCGCCCGGGCCGTGCCTGCTGAGAGCTGTGCCAGGTGCGGACAGAGAGACGCCTTGCGAGCCCCATCTGTGCCACTCCCATCTCCGGTCACAGGCCCAAAGGGAACCAGCTGGGGAGCCTAAGTTTAGGGCACATGAACCCTGTTGGTGTCTGGTGACAGAGAGCCAGGTTAATCTGCCAAGGCAGGGCTTGATGGTCAGAAAAGTCCAGGCAGAGACTAGCTTGGGGCCAACCTGGACCCAAAGACTCAAACCCTGCCACCCGCTCTCTCTTCCTCACTTTCACTTTCTCTGTATCACTTCTGCTTTCCTCGGCTTTGCCCTTTCTCGGCTCTGCCTTTCTCGCCTCCTGGTCACAAGATGGCTGCAGCAACTCCAGGCTTGCGCACTCCCTTCTCTGCAACCCCAGAGGACCCCCTCCAGGGTTCTCACGAAGCTGTCCACTGTAGGAAATGCAGGGAATAACCACATGCCCCTTTCTGAAGAGCCTGGTCAGGGCAGCCCCCTGCCCCAGAGAGCAGCAGCCACGATGGCTCACCCAGTCTGCAATGGATATAGGTCTTATATTGTTTCGTAATCGGCTTTGTAAATGTAATAGACTTTAGTTTTTAGAGCAGTTTAAGGTTCACAGAAAAATTAAGAAAAAGATACAGAGATTTCCTACTCCCTCCTCCCCCCACACCTGCATAGCCCCCCCCATTATCGACGTCACTCACAGACTGTACATCTGAGGGAGCCGCACGGACACAATGCGACCACCCAGAGTCTGCGGTTGACACAAGGGTTCGCCCTTGGTGCTGCACAGACGTGGGGTTTCAGCGGTGTCCAGCCGCAGGCCACGGGCAGCCCGGGATGGCAGTGAGTGCGGCCCGACACAAAATCGTAAATCTGCTTAAAACATGATGAGATTCTTTTGGTAATTACCTGTCACAATGTATTTAATGTGTGGCCCAAGACGATCTTCTTCTTCCAGTGTGGCCCAGAGATGTCAAAAGGTCGGACCCCCTGGAGGATAACTGTATCCATCATCAACATGCATCCGAGCATTAAAAATTAAAGTGTGATTAAATGTTATCGATGCCTCATGAGCATTTCCCTGTAACACATACTATTCTTCTGTGCTACTGTTACTGCTTTCATTGTATCCTAAGGAATGAACCTGCCCTGGGTGTTTTAACCGCCTTGGAACGTTCCAACTTCTCCTTTCAGGCGAGAAAGCAACAAACGCCTTAACCAATGAATGAATGTCTTTTTGTGCTCCTGCGCTCCGAAAGCGATGTCTAACCATGATTTTCTGACTCGCGCTCAAAGTGTTAATGATTTCGATAATAGTAATTTCTTTCTCGGGGTGCTGTTGGAGTGAATCCACCAGCCGTGTGGGAGATGGCCATTCACTCCAAACATTTCCTAACACTGGACGTTCGCATTTCACGACCAGTCTTTGTAGGACAGGTAAGAAGTGGTACCGGTGGTTTCACGTGCATTCCCTCTTTCCTACTGAGTATTAGCATTGTCTCGGGCTTCCTGGTCATCTCCGTTGCACTTACCATAATAATGATGTTTTTTTTCCCCTTCTACCAGGCACTTCTGGAGGTAGACGGCACCCAGAGAGGGACGAACCCTGCAGTTTAAAAAGCCATCAGCAAAGACTTCCGCCAAGATGGAGGCATAGGTGGATGTGCGGTGCCTTCTCACACAACCAAGTTTAGAGACAACTAAAAATTAGCAACAGAAAACTCAGCCAGAACACGGAAAATTGAACTTTTCGGAAGTCCGTTAACAACAAATTCTTCAGCCTGACCGGTAAGGGGCGAAACCAGCGGCTGGTGAGGGGTTGCACAGGAGGACTCGGTCAGACGGACTCAGGCGCGGAATCCAGGCGCAGGGTTGGACCTAGTGAGCGACCGAGCGAGCCACCAGGCGAGCGACCGTGGAGGAGACAGTGGGGGAGCGGTGCTGCGTGTTGACTGTGGTCGCCCATTTGTGCGCGAGCGGACAGGCGAGGGAGTGGGCGGTTGGACCAGGGCCCGGCGGGTCCCCGCAGCAAGCAGCAATAGAGGGCGCCGCCATTTCC